AATAACAATTTCGTTTTAATTCGAACCACTCCGTCACTGTCTTTAAATGTTACTAAATTTCCTGAACATTTATCTAAGTACTCCTTGTTTACCAATTGTATAAGTTTTATAATAAACTCTTCGGCCTTTTCGAATTCTTTTGATGTTAATTCTCCTTTCCGTTTATTATCAATATTTTTAATATTATATGCAAATCTTAGTACCCAAGCAGTCATTCTAATAGTCTTTGAATATATTGAAAAATATTTCTGCAATCTACAAATAAAATTCTCATCCGTGTTTACATTTATATTACAAACTGTCTTTTTTGTTTCAGCAAGTACCTCTCTTTCGTTTACGACTAACTCCGAGTGGGGCCAGTCTGCTGGTGTTAATCGTAACCATGACGGTCCTTCCCACCAGCGACATTCAAATAACTTTTTCGCGTTACATCCCCTAGATGCCAGGTCAGCCCAATTTAGTTCTCCTGGAACATGGTACCAGTCACAAATATTTGTGTTTCGCCGGATTTCTTTCACTCTGTTGCCTACAAATGTGTTTAGAGAAAGCTCGCGTTTTACCCAACACAAAGCAACTTCAGAGTCTGTCTAGCAATATTCGGAACAGTTAGACAGTTGTAAACTATCTCTGACATTAGCCAGTAGTCGAGATCCTATCAATACAGCAGTGAGCTCCAATCGAGGTATAGTCATATTTTGTGACGGGGTTACCCTCGATTTAGCGGCCACTAACTGAACTGACACCTTCTTATCCTTCTCAGACCTTAATAAGACACAAGCACCATATCCTCTTTTACTAGCGTCACAAAATAAATGAAAACTAACACTACATTCACTCAAAATATCCACCGACAACCGTCTCGGTATAGAACATTCACCTATAAAATTTATATATTGATACCAGTCTTGAAACTTTATAAACAAATCTGAGGGTAATTTTTCATCCCATGGTATCTGTCGTTGCCACGCCTCTTGCAGAAGAAGTTTAGGCGTCAAAACAACTGGGGATGTGTAACCAATCGGATCAAATATCTTTTGAGCCACAGACAAAAGTTTACGCTTTGTGATTCCTTCAATTTCGCTGAACGTAGGGAGACTACTACAATTGCAACATAACTCATCCGTCACTACATTCCAATTCAAACCCAAAATAGAAATCACACTCTTACCAACCTCATTTAGCCCTTCAGAAGATACCCACATTCTAAGATTAAACTTACCAACTTGCATAATCCTTTTGGCTTCAGAAACTACCTTAACAGCCTCATCTTTTGTATCGACACTAATCAAACAGTTATCAACATAAAATGATTTATTTAATAGTTTCGCTGTACCACCTAATGATCCATTCTCCATATAATTAAGGTGATATTGTAATGTAGCTGATAATAAAAATGGACTAGATGTGAGCCCAAATACGACTCTACAGTGTCTATATGTGACTAATTTCGTCATTGTATCATCTTCAAACCAAAGAAACTTCAAATATTCTCGATCAGGCTCTGCCAGACTTATTTGAAGAAAAGCCTTCTCAATGTCGGCTGTCATCCCTATGACTCCGACTCTAAAATTATTGATTAAATTGGGTATTTTATCAATTAAGTTATTACCCTTTTCTAGACACTTATTAAGACTAAGACCGTTTTTATCGATAGCTGAAGCATCAAAAACGGGTCGAATACTCGTCGTGAGACTTTGCTCTTTTATCACCGGCCTATGTGGTAGGTAATGTCCACAGTTAATAGTAGTATTTTTCGCTGTTTCAATAATTCCTAACTGCAACCACATTTTAAAAACATCGTCATATAACTGATATTTTCCGCTTGCAATCAACCGTCTAGTCATTGACTCTAAACGTTTATTGGCTTTCTCAAAATTCGGAGTTAAATCATCAAAATTCGTCTTAAATGGTAAATTAACTTCATACCTGCCATCGTCCAATGTTTTTATATTCTCTCGGAAAGTTATTAAAGTATCAGCGACAATTTCCGTTTTTGACTTTACCTCCGCTGGGTCTCTAATCCCAAGTGTCTCCAAAGACCAAAATTCTGTCAAATTATTATTATCACATGAGCAATAAAGAACAGATAAAACCTTATCAAATGAATTATTTATACTCACCGGTTTGCCCTGTAACGCCCAACCCAAGTTGGTTTTAATTGCGACTAGACCATCCTCCAGCTGAACTATAGTACCTATCAACAACCCAATGTCTGAGATGTCACCCTTGTCTGTCAGGGAGATATTATGTCTGACAAGCATATTTTTAATATTCACATCTCTAAAATTAATTTTTGGTATGTTATTACAAATAGTATTTAAGCTTATAACAGATACAATTATACTAAATGTATTCTCTAAGGAATTCAACTTAATATTATATACGTTACGGTCTTGCGATTCAGTTTCATGTTCACCAAATAATGAAAAAGCTAACTTTTCCTTCGTTAAAGGTATCATACCTAATTTCTTTACAATATCTTCTCGTATATATGTGCGCTGAGAACCTGAATCAAGCAAAGTACGTACTCGTAATTTCTTACCACCACATTCTACTTCAACTATAATAGTTTGTAACAGAGTCTGTCCCTTTGTAAAAATGCTGGAAGAAAGCGCAGCGGCCTCATCTGACTTTCCTGAAATTACTGGGTTTCTCTCAGTCCTCTGATCTGTACATAAGACCGTAGAGTGGCGTTTCGCACAAATGAAACACTTGACGATCGCTCTGCATGCTTTAGGATGATGACCCTTTCTAAGACAAATGGCGCATGCTTTTTTGTCTTTTAGCATCTGGCGTCGCTGTTCCAATGACATTTTTTGTATTTTATAACATTCGAGGCTTCCATGTGTGCTTTTGTCGCACCATAAACATACGAGTTGTTTTTGTTTTATGTTTGATATGAGACATTCTGCAGTACTTGGTTTTCCAATTGACAAATCTTTTTGTTCCTTATTATTAAATGTTTCCCTTGACATAAGAATTCTTTGCTCACTTGCAGCTTCTTTCTTCAAAAACTCTAACAAATCTGTTAATTCTTCGGACAAGTCTTTTGTCTTCTGCTTGTTTCTTTCCCATGTTCTAAGAAGCTCTTGGGGTATAGCAGATTCTACCAATGGTAATAAGATCGCGGCATAATTTTTAATAGTAAGACCTAGAGTTTCAAGCGCACGCAGTTGAGCGTTTAACTTATCGTACAAATGAGTTATTGAATCTTTCTTGTCTACTAGAATGATTCCCAGAATTTCTCTTACGTATATAAGTGTGAGTAAGTCAGTTCTCGCGTATCTCGCCTTTAACTGTTCTAAACATTCGTCATAAGTTGTTGGAGAAAAACTCTCGATCAATTCACGAACCTCCGAGTTTTCTTTTGCTGACTGTACCAAATATTGGTATTTATCAATTTTGTCCATTGTTGGGTCACTATCAATTTTACTAAATTGACCCCAAAAAGGCAACCAGTTTTTTAATTCGCCATCAAAAATATGTAATTGTAATCTTGGCAGTTTTAGATTTCTGGCTTGTTGATTTAATTCTTTATCTATAATATCTGCTTTTTCCGCAACTTTAGATATATCGTTAAATTTTTTCTTTATACGCAGCCATTTTTCTTTATAGGTGTCAACTGATATAAGTTCTTCCTCTAAATCGTTTTCGTCAAATTCTTTACTTAAAATCAAGTTTTTTATTTCATTGTCTAATTTAAAAAGATTTTCCGTATGATCGCTTAGCTTTGTATAGCACACGTCTAAATCTACGGTTACCTTCTGGTCTAGCAATGTTTCGAAACTATTTGTGGTATTGGTAAAAAGTCTTCTCAACACAGTTCGTTCCTTTTTCTTATTTTGCAAATCCATTTTTATTACTTATAAATGCCTACGGTCGCCACAATGTTAAATTTAAAGGGACGCTGAATGTTGAAATATTAGAAAAAAAACCACCATTTCTTTCGAACTGACATCAAAGAAGAAGAAAACGTCAGAAATTTATTTTTCTATAATCCTCTTTAAAAAGTTTTATACTAATTCACAACAAATAGCGTGTTTTCTGTGCCAAGGGCCATTATCAGACTCGCGCTATAAGATGATTTAATCATGAATATAAGATTTAATAACTGATCATAGTTCTTTTTTAATTCTTAATTTCAAAAGGAAAACTAACGATTCGAGTAAATTGAAATAAATTTGAAAGTTAGATATTATAAGAAACACGAAACGATGTCATGTTTATTGATTTTCGATACCCAATTTACTTTTATTACGTCAAAAATTTTAATGAATATCATAGACAATATACAAACATCGCGAGTGACATCTAGTATGATTTCAAGAAATTATTTTTATTTTTTAAATACAGGAAGTATTTATTGAGTAGTTAAATGGGCGCTTTATTTCTTACTAAAGAGACGGCTGGCCCGACCTGGCTGGACCGACCTCAAAAAAAATTTTTGGTGTATACTCTTTTTATTTATTGAAGATAAAAAATTGTGGCATTAATTCTCTCTTTTCATTCGTTTCTTTTTATTAGATTTTTCAAAGTCGGTTTCTTTTATTTATTCGTGTTAGATTCCGAATCAGGCAAAATAATATTGGATTTTTTCGGGCTGGGTGCAGTCCTGTCAAAATATTAGATATTGTTAATATAGATTGTAGAGGTGTATGTGGAGTAGATTATTATTTCCCACGCAGATGGCTAATCTATGTCTTGTCTATGTCCTGCAAAAATCAACTTTTGCTAGAGTCGCAATCTAGTGGAGGTGCTATTTTGGTGCTTTCTTTTTTTAATAATTCCTATTTGAAAAATGAGATCTAAAACAGTAGATGGTAGACTAAGTTGTTAGTGCCTTTCTCTACTTACAGTACTCAGTAGTCAAGCTGTGGTTGACGTGAATTCACATTGGGTCTTTTAAAGTTAGCCACTGACTCCATGTCTTGATCTGTGCTCCGAGTACATACATGGTCCTTCCTATAAATTAAAAAAAAACAAATTTCATGTATGGCAACATTGACAATTACAATTTCTTGATTGCCTATACCTAAATGTTGGAATAATGTAAATTGTCCTGGTTAGAGTTAGATAATTAATAAACATAATGTTTCTGTGAGTATTTACTTGTCTAATAAAACAAAAAACCATTTCTATATATAACAAATAAATTCCTGTTATTTGCTTGGGAGTGTCGTGTAGATGCGCTGACCTTCGTTTGGATGCACAACGCACAACAAAGCATCAAATTGACGGCTGCCCCATTTCCACAACAAAATTCATATTTGGTGTTGTTTTATGAGAAGTGAATGAGTATATGAAACAATGACTTTTCCAAATATTTAATTCGGGATATTGATGTGCGAATACATGTTAGACACGTAGAAAGTTACATGGCAATGGAGAAACCACTACGACAACGCAAACTGTTTTCAATGATGTGTTTTACTGTCCACCAGCAAAGAGTTTCTTTTCTTCTAGGAGGATTCTAGCGGATCTGGACAAATAAATTTTGGTTATTTTAAAACATAATTAACAAGATGAATGAAAGGGATATCCCCAGTGTCCCCATTACAACATTAGCGGGTGTAGCCAGCTTGACCGATTGTGAGTATTTTGAATTTCTATTTCTTTACTCTTTTCTAATAATGTATAGGAAGTAATTAAAATTAAGTTGGCTTTATTCTTTTTAATTTTTACGATTAATTATAGATTTTTATATCTATAGATCTTCACGATTAATTATAGATCTTCTTTTCTTGATATCAGTATATTAAATAATAATATGTCAGTATTTTTAAACAATTATTTATAGACTTTAATTATTCTCTTTCAAAATTATCATGAACATTATATGATATGAGCCATTGGTTTATGACAATAATATTATAAATTACATTAAAATAATGGATTGAATTAATGGTACTTATAATTCCTTGTACTTAAAAAGTAAAGCAAGAACAAAAATTATCAAAGAATGTAACTTAAAAAGTTTAGTGGCTAATAACAACAGATTTAAAATATATGGACAAATTAGATTTTAAACACAGAAACCTTTGTAAATACTTAACTTTTTAACATAAACACGGTTGACACATTTATATGGGTCTATACTCAAAGTCCTTTAAAATAATATTTTGTAACTTATTAAACAAATTATTGTTCATTTTTGAAGAATGTATTACATTATTATTTGAAAATTTACATTATGACTGTTTAATAAAATATCTATATTCTGATCTGAGTCACTATGACCCCTGCTTTGTAAATTCTTAAACACAAAAGCACAAAAGTCTGTTAAATACTTTCAAAGACCTTTAAAATAATATTTTGTAACTTATCAAACAAATTATTGTTCATTTTTGAAGAAATTATATGAAAATTTATATTATGACTGTTTAATAGAATAGCTATATTCTGATCTTAAATTCTTAAACACAAAAGCACAAGTCTGTTAAATTTGCAACATTTAACAGACTTTTGTGCTTTTTGGCCACAATATTCATATATTTATTATTATAGGTGTAATTTATGTATGTGTGTACAAACATAAATGTATTTCTTGCAAATTAGATATCAAATAGTGAATTATCTTTTTATTATATTTGATCAATTTTGCATATTGTTCTAAAACATGATACAAAAAATAGCTCTTTGGATTTGTCTTAGATTTTTTGAAAATTGCTTAAAAATCTTGTAATCATTTTTCATTAACAAATTTAATCTTTGTTTGGTTTATTATGTTTGATCAATTTCCCATTCACAATTCCATGCCATCTCAGAGCACTAGGAAAAAGTGGATTATTATACCATTTTTCATTACTTGTTTATCTGTTTTAAGATTTTTTATTTTTTTTGTTTGTTTGTTTAGCTTTCAACTTAGGGAACAGCATAAGTTTCAACTAAATCGGCTCAGTAGTTTTGAATATATAAACTTATTAGGTACAATCTCAAAAAAGCAGATGTATAGAAGAGGAAGATAATTCAAGAGCCTTCTATTATAATATCTATTCATGTCTGGAGGCAGGTTTTGTGTAGGTTATTAAATAACTTCAATACTTCAATTCAATGTTTTGTGAACTATTTTTCATATTTTTTATTAATTATCTTTACATGCATAAAAAGTGCTTACCCCACATGGGATCTGTTGTGATTTTTATCAGAAAAAGTAACAAATATCATGATTTTAAAATTAATGTATAATATCATTTAAAGCAGTGATTTTCAAAAGATAAGTTTTATGAACCCTTTTAGTAAATAATAACTTATACTAAGACCTGAATAAAACAACTTAGTTATATATGTACTGCTTATTGATAGTAAATCACACATTTCTTTCACAAATTGTTATCATATTGAAGGTACAGAAATGCTTTTTCCATACATCCATCCAGTTGGATGTTAGGTCTGCTGGTATTTAAATATGGCTAATACTTTGTGGACCGCTCTGCACCGCATACTTTGAGAACAACAGGTACACAACATAATTGCCCTGTAGTAAGATATGCTCTTAAATAATTAGTGTTGACAAACAATTATAAAATTTTGTATTTATGGAAATATACTTAAAAGTATTAAAAGTTATTGGATTTTTATAAGGTCTATTAGCTAACAATTGAAAGAAAAATCGCCAAGACAATAAAGGAGTTACTAACTAAACCCGAGCCTTTCATCACTGTAGGTGCATATTGAATAAAACGCTATTGTGTAAGATGCCATATTTTGTTATAATACTACTGTAATAATGGACACTATTGTCTTACACTTCAAATTATTGTTTGAAAATGCATAAGTAAACTACTGTGATATCTTTTTTGCTATCGCTAGCAGCATCTATCTATTTAACATTTCACTCCAGATGGCAGTTTCTGTGGTACATAATTATTATCTTCTTCTTCAGCCTATAATCAGTTAATGATGAGTGTCTCTTCCATGCTGTTTGTTCTCTGTATCTAGTTTCTTCCCTCTAGTTACTCTAATTTCTATGCATTACTAGTGGACCTGGCGAACCTGTTGGTTCCGCCTCATAGTCAATGAATGAGCAGATTTAGAATTTTAAAATTTGTTAAAACCTATTGTTTAGACCTATTCTTGACAGACAAATCCAAAGAGCTATTTTGTGTACCTTGTGTTAGAATAATATGGATATTCCCTGAATCCTGCGTTTCGGTTTTTAATTAGAAATATTAAAAAAACTATTCACACTTTAGTTAGTAATGAAAAAATACACTTCCTCTTTAACTAGTATAGAAAGGACAGGTTTAAAGATAGTAGAATAAATAAATAGATACTTGATTCATTAAACCACATATATTTTTTTATGTAACAATTTCTTATATTTATACAAGAACCAACAATCATTTGCCAACAAGTTACTTTCGGTAAACAATTAGATCCTACTGGTGCAGAAAGAGACAAAAATAGGTAGCAACAGAAATACCCCGCTATTGTTTTCGTTTGTTACTACAATGCAGCGATATCACGTGATTCAAAAAAGCTGCAACATCGCGCGTTTGACAAAAAAGTTTGTCAACGTGTTACTGGTGGAAAATTTACAACGTTGCTCATGTGCTCACTGGCTTGCATAAACTATTTTTTATATTTTTTGATAAAAAGAATTAAATTCATTAAAATCCCGCACTATCAGTCTGAATCCCGTGAAATATTCATCTTAAAATCAATGTTTGTAGTCAATGAACCTAAATAAATAGCTCTACCTATTCCGATCAGTGGTTATTACTATGGAATAAAATTCTTCAAGTTCTTATTAGGAAATGAAATATCGAACCTCATATGTAGATAGTTTTGCTGACGAAGGTAAATTTTAAATGTATTTCAGTAAGTGCAGTTACATGTCTATTTATTTATAGTAAAAACTCATTATTTTCATGTTTTTATATTAATGATTATGATTTTGCCTTTACAGTACTACCTGTGTTACCACTACCAACACCATTACCATCGACATTAAACAATAAATCGCAATTGTTTCACCCGAGGGTTGCTGAAGAGGCAGCAATTTTACTTGCAACTCAAGACGATAACTTAGTTTCATTATTGATACAATCCCTTATGCAGACTTCTGTTCAGCACATGTGAGTGTCAATAGTATCTAATTAAAACTTTAATTAAGTAGTGATTTCAACTGAATATCAATAACTTAGGTACTTGTATTCATAAAACCTATGTTCTAAATTTTCATTTTCTATTGACTACCTATGGTATATTTGCTTAATAAAAAAAACCTTGTGTTATCAAAACTTATCGATTTACGATTAAATCTATATGTATGTATCTTACCTACTTTACAGTGATTTAAAGGATGAAACTATTCAAAATGCTGTCAGTCCTGCTCCACAACAATCTACACCTGAACTACTGAAAGCCATTCTAAGTGTAAATCCAAATGTATTTGATCAACAGCAACGCAATCATTGGAATAATCATTTACACACAGCAAAGTATAATGGTGTATCACCAAATGATTCATATAATTATTCAGCTCATAATACTGTTAATTCAAGTCCTTCAACAATCCATTCATCAACCATTCCAAACCAGCAACTTCTAGCAACACCATGCCAGTCTTCTCCAAATGTAAATATGGGCTCTCCTCCTTCACAATCTAGACCAGGAAGCCAAGTGAATATTAATGCTCAGAATAGTATGTCACCAATGTGGAGTAATGCAAATTCTTCAAATGCCTATGCAAACTCACAAAATGGTGGTTTTTACAGCAGTTTGACACCAGACAATAGTAATTTAACTAATTTGTCTGAAGACAAAGATCCACTCTCTATGTCACCCACAAATATCACAGACCAGCCAAGAACTATTTTGCAATCTCAAGAAAAGGCGTTTGGACAAGGTATTTTTTTGTTTGATACTTAATTGAGATTTGCTGTTTCTATCATATTTATGTACTTTATAATATTCAATAAATACTTTGCCTCTTTTAGACAGCAATGTCGTTACTGGACAGTCACCAGCACAAGCCAGCGTAGCACCATCTCCTTTACGTCAAGAGCCCCACGTACCACAACCATCGATGGGGGCGCCTTATGCGCCGCCACCCGTACAGACAGAAAAACAAGACACTAATAAAACTACTAAGACTGCAAATAACAAATATCCTATTGTAAAAATTGGACGGCTATCGGTAATAATAACATTCCATATATTTTTAATTCTTATTTTTTTTTTGTAATCGTTTTGTAAAGTTTGTGATTTTGAATTACAATTATTATTAAATTGTAAAACGTGTTCTACAGGAGGGAATACTGAAAAAACATGAACCTTCTGGTGAAGACAGATCTAGAAAAAATAGTGCACTTGAATCAGACTCTGATGATAATTTACCACTAAAAAGCAAGTCTGGGAATGCAAGTGTAACTGTAGATAAAGAAAGAGAAGCGATAGATATTGCTCGAGAAAAGAACTGGGAAGCGGTAAAAAGAAAACATGAAGAAGCTAGCAAAAAAGAGGAAGCTGAAGCTGCCATTGGTATGTTCAAATTATTAACTAAACCTTCGAAAATTACGTTACATGCTTCTTTATTTCCCCTCCTTTTTTGCAATACTAACACTATATACAAATAATTGTAAGTGAATTCTATCTATTCTTACAGTTCGTCCTAAATTGAGGAAAGTGGAAAGAAGATTAGTACCTGTACTGGAAATGCTATCTGTTGATGAATTGATGGAAACCAATACGTATCAAAGATTCAACAAATTAATTGATTCAGTATTTGAAACAATAGATGATGATGTCATAATAACTGATGAAATGGGTAAAACATTAATTTTATTATCAAATTTAATTAATGCTAAGAAAATCTTTAAACACTTTCACATTACCTTTGCAGAGGGAACAGATATCCCAGAAGATTTATTATTACAACGCTACCAACTTCAAGAACTGTGTTCTGAGGCAGCTAAACTTAAGAATCTTGGTGCTATGGAAGCTATTCCTTCTGACAGATTAGTTCGTTTGCTAAATATATTAGAGAAAAATATCAGAGCTGCTGAAAAGATGTCGTTAGTAGGAGATCCAGTATGTATCTAAACATTTGTTACTAATTAACTATTATTTGCGCCATAGAAATTAAATTATTCATGAAATTTTTAGGAGGACAGCGAGGAGATGCGACAGATTTGGATAGAATCTGCTTTAGAAAGAGTGATGTGTGCATCAGACGCGTGTTTGACTGCTTTGTACATAATGACCTCACCCAGTATGCCTAAACGCGTTTTCCTAGAAGACGTAATAGATAGAATTATAATGTTCATTAAATTTCAACTGAACAATACAATATATTGTGTTTATGATCCTGTCTACAGTATTCAAACTACGTCCAAAAAGAAAGGTAAATAATGAATTATGTACTCTAAACTGAATGCTATATATGTAATATTAATATTTAAAATAGGAAATAACTAGTACTAATATTGCCTAATACAATAATAAATAAAACATTATTTCGAAAATGTTGTCTTATGCAAATAATTGATTCCCTTATTTCTAATATCTAAATATGCAGCGTTAATATATTATTGAATAAAAATACACTCTTTCTAATCATGATTTTAAAAATATTAAATTCATGCTATACTTTACTGATAGCTTACTATTCTATGAATGACGTTTGATGGTTATAAAACCTATTCTGCTAGAGTAACGTTCTGGCGACAGAAAAGCAACTTTGTAACCAATTTGCTGTAGACTGTACTAAAAATTTAATAACAAAATTGATTACTTAATTTTTATTTTGCAGTATAGCAAAGTTTCCTAAATAATTAATAACTTTAAATACAGTTCATAAAAATACAGCTTAACGTAAAATAAAAAAATGTTTTAAGGATTTAGTTTGATTAACTTTTTAAAATTACATCTTAAAAGTGGACGGACGGAAAAGACGCGGCGGTGGAGCAGGTAACACGACCCGACGTGGTGGGACTGGAGGGTCTACACGCGCGGTGCGCGAGTTGTACACACACGCGCACGAGAGTGTCACGCTCCTTGCCGAGTTGCTCGGTGCCCATCACCTCACCGATACCACGGTATTACACGCGTCCACCGTGGGCGTCTCGCCGTTCTTCGTGGAAAACGTGAGCGAACTCCAGCTCTCCGCGCTCAAACTCGTCACAACGGTGAGTCTCGTTTGTATATATTTTTTATTTTATTTTATTTAAACTAGACTACTGCTAAGTACGTCTTAAATCAAATTAGAATTCCAATGATATCAAATTTATCATAAGCTGTTCCAGTTTTATTTTAAAGACATTGATATCAATGACAATATTAAAGACTATTGTCTTTAATATTGTTTTTTTTTTAATGCTTCTGATAAATTTGATATCATTCGAATTACAATTTGATTTTAAACGTAGCAGATCCAGAGAAGATGCGGAGGTAAACCTCATTTTAATAATTACTGAAAACTATGGAAAATATGCGTAACTTTTTTTCTATCATAAAAAGGCCTTTGATACAGTTTCTTTTTCCATTTTCTCGTGACTAAGCTTGAACAAATAAGTTAGGAGTGTCTCTTTTCTGCTGTTTAAATATTACTTACAAATCGTAAACAAAAAGTTATGTTGATCATTTTTTAAGTGATATTATATACCTACTCTTTAACTTTGGGATTCCCCAGGGAAGTGTCCTAGGCCCAATAGTATTTTCTGCCTACATGAAAGAACTATGCAATTTAGGTCTAGAAAATGGTCGCGTCTTCTCTTAGGTCGGCCATACAGCAATGGTTTTCTAGGAAATTCATTGAGAGAAGTGCGAATTCGCTTGAGATAAATAATAAAAAAAAAACAAATTATGTTGCTTTTCCATCTACAATAACACCCAACTGAACCTTAAATTTAACAAACATCAACTTTCAAAAATCTAAAACAAGAAAAAACTGTTGTTGCTTCTCTTTTAAAAAAATATCTTGGAGTTATGATTGATCATTGTCTGTCTTTGTCATCCACAAATGGAGCTATTCGCTAAAAGAATTAGGAATTTAATGTATCTTTGAAATTTTAGGACATCTATATATCGCCGACCTAATTTTAATGATTTATATAGCTTTAGCAACTGAAGAAGTTATCCGTTTAACTTTAACTGAAGAAGTTTTGAGTTCAAAACTATGTATCTTCAGAGAATCTAAACATACATAGTTTTGAAAAATTCTAAAACTTATATGTTTTTCAGATATTCACCAAGTATGAGCAACACCGAAGACTTTTATTAGAGGACATTCTAGCATCAATTGCACGCATACCAAGCTCGAAGCACAACTTACGTTCATTCCAGTTGAGTTCCGATCAACATATACAGATGCTCACAGCATTAGTGCTTCAACTTGTACAGTGTGTGGTCACATTACCTGAGACTATGTGCAAATCTCAAGATAAAGATAAAGAACATTCAGACACAAATAGTAAGAAAGTAAGTATTAAAATAACCGAATTAAATGTTGTAATTTAAAAACTCTTGAAATTAAGTCTCACTCAACTGTATTTAACATAAAAACATACTTCACATCTACATGGAAATGCTAAATCAATGCAAATGGGAAATGAATTTCTTTTTTATCACACAACAGTCTTATCACTTGTAATATGATCTTTTATTTTTTTCTTAGCAAATCGACAAAGACCTTATGATAATATCGAAGTACGAAGCTGCAATCAGTGTGGGTGGCACGTTCTTAACGTCGTTTCTGAACAAGTGCCGTAGTCGTCAAGAGGAGGTTGACTTCAGGCCCCTGTTCGAGAACTTCGTACACGATTTACTAACGACTGTCAACAAGCCAGAGTGGCCTGCCACTGAATTACTACTCAGTCTATTAGGAACGATGCTGGTATGATATTTTTGTTTTATCGCTTTAATATTATATATTTTATAGACATATTGCTCTTTCCTTCTTCTGTTTGTTTTTTCAATTTAGAATTTATCTCACACTTATCCGCGCCGCCCCGAACGAATTTTGGCAGAACCCAAATTCTCGAAATATTCAGTGCTGGTACTTCGAAATAATAAAATTATGTCAATGGCAAATCAAAAAATATACCTATTAATACAAAGTGTATTCAGTTTTGCAACAAAACAAAACTCAGAATTTCATTTAAGTATATGCTCTAAATCTTTGAATTGAATTTAATTGAATGATATTAGCTACCAACACTAATCACACAGAAAATTCTTTATAATAGATGTGGGAGTTCTAAAGAAATTGTTTTTCGTGAACGATTCTTTTTGCATTGAGTAATTTCTTGTGAAATGGGGATGTAGACAACTTTTTTATATTTTTATTTTATAGATACATAAAATATTTCTAAAAAAGATAATTTAAAGAAATATCATTCTTATAATAAGTTAAAATCTAAATATAATTTCATTTTTGAAAATTTCTCGCGAAAACGCCAACTTCTGTCATGGCGTCGCTATGAAGCTCCTCTAAAATATCGTTCTATGTATGCAAAGGGTTGAATTCTTTAAGTTCTGATGTGAGCAAGAGTGGCCTGTAATCACGCGCTTTTACGGTCATGTGACAACGAATACAAAATTTACTGTCTACACTCGTGTTATGTTCGTAGGTAAAGTACATGTCAGACAAATCTATGGAGATGCCAGTGCGCGTAGCATCGTTAGAGTATCTAGGTTTGGTGGCGGCGCGTCTGAGACGGGACAGCGTGCACTCGAGGGCCAAACTCGCCACTATGGACGCTGTAGTGAGGGATATACGTGCCGAGGAAGAGAAGGACGGCAACCAGGCACAGGTAAGACACGTGGCCATCAGGTTTTTTACTAGAGATGCGCCGAATAGTGGTTTCACTGAATACCTTTACCGAACCGGATATTCGGCCGAATTATTCTGTTGCCTTTTCATTATTTTGCTGAGCAAACAAGTTTAAAAACAAATAATTTTTTTATTCAAATGTAATTGTAATTTAAAATTCTATGATTAATAAATTCTTGTATTTAAAAAAACTTGCATGTTGGGTATCCGGCGAAATATGTGAACCCATTTATGACAAATGAACATCCATGTGTGTAACCAAATTTCAAGCAATAAAATATCTCTATTGTTATAACCGACACTTAAATATTCTCCATTTGTGAAACATAAAGATATTAGGACGCGTTCCATTCGCACGAATTGGCATCTTTTTCTGTGCGATATTTGACTGCAAACTGTAGCTTTAATATTGATAGTGATTTTTTCTATAGTCTATCACATCGGGCCTCGACGAAGACGAAGAGAGGACAGAATTCCTTCAAAGAGTATTACTAGATTACCTAGCTATCAATGGACAGAAAGATCAAGCGTGGAACTGTGCGCGGCATTTCTACATAACACAGTGGTACAGGGACATGGTGGTGCAACCGAAAAGTACATCACCTACAAAGAAAGCCAAGAACAAATCTAAGAAGCGGTATAAAGACGAGAGCAGCGAAGAGGAGTCGGATGCCGACGAAGACAGCGACGGCGGCGTCAAAGAATCAAAGCACGACAAGAAACACATCACGACCGCAGTAATGTCCGCTGAGCGATTCAAGACGATCGAGAGGCGGAAAACATTCTTTTTAGAGAAAATACGACCGTTCAGGTATCAAGGCGGGACGCAAGTGCAAGTAATGCAATCATATATAGACTACAGTGGCGCAGAACTGATATCTCAGTATCTCGCATCGAAGAGATCTTTTTCGCAAAGTTTTGATAGGTATCTGAGGAAGATATTAGTGATTTTGTGCGAAAACACTATAGCGATTCGGACGAAAGCTATGAAGTGTCTGGCGATGATAGTGGAAGCGGACCCGGCGGTATTGGCGAGGCCGGATATGCAGATCGGAGTTAACCGGTCGTTCCTTGATCAATCTACCGCAGTACGCGAAGCCGCCGTAGACCTGGTCGGCAAGTTTGTGCTCAGCAGGCCCGATCTCATCGACAAATACTACGGAATGCTCTCCAATAGAATACTCGTGAGTTACTTATTATCATACCATAGATTAGATTAACTTTTGTTTGTTCTTACCTTTTTGTCCTGCTTGAATGACAAAGAAACGGCACACACGTATAATGCATGGTATGTAAGTAAAATAAAAATGGCGACTAGGCATTAACATATTTTCGTGACTCTATTAAGTGGGGGGGGGGGGGGGGAGCTGATTCAATATATAAAAAAACTATATTCAAATTAGAAATCCACTTTTTAATTATCATTATTATACGATTTAATACAATCAAATATGGGACAACCACTTCTCAACTTGTGGATTTGTTCGTATGTGTTTCTCAGTTTTATCTGTGATTATTTAATTAATAGTAATAAACAGAGAAAGTTATGAAATGCTGCTTTAGACTGATGCAATTCGTGTAGTTTCACTTTATATTTAGTCTACGTCAATATAGGTCAGTTGCACAAACATCCATTAAGGTTTAGTTAGGCCTTTAAACTCTAATTAATGTAAAATTTGTATGGGTAATGTCGCTTTAAACTAATGACAATTTTATTGGATGTTTGTGTGCAACTAACTGTATTACTGATATCGTTCTCAACTTCATTGGCATCAGTTGTGGAAGAGACTGTCACATCCTGTCACTTCTTTATTTAATTCTTTTTCTTACACAAACTCCCCTTTAACTTTAAGAGCACTTCGATTTTGCACTCTTCTAATCTAGCGGTTTTCCCATAACCAATCCTTAGTTATCCTTTCCTACTCTACTCATTTTAAAACAAAGCCATTTTTTCAGTTTTTAGCCCAAAGTTCCCTAGTAGAGATCGGTTCTTTTGCGAGTACATATATTTCTGTTTGTTTGTTTATGATTTAAATAATTTAAGTGTGCAATTGAATACCTTCTATTTCAGGACACCGGAGTATCAGTTAGGAAAAGAGTCATAAAAATCCTGAAAGATATATGCATAGAATGTCCCGAATTCCCTAAGATACCGGAAATCTGTGTGAAAATGATCAGGCGGGTGAACGACGAGGAGGGCATCAGGAAGTTAGTGATGGAAGTATTTCAGAATATGTGGTTCAGTCCTTGCGCGAATAGTGCTAGACTTGGTATGGTCGATATGACGGCTGCTGCCGCTGACCCACTTACTAGGAAAGTCCTCAACATCACTGATGTAGTCATATCTTCGAGGGACATGGGTCTGGAATGGTTCCAGCAGTTACTTATGAGCGTGAGTATAAATTATTAATTTTTATTTGCAGTAAAAGATATTATGACTTCAAAATAGTGGCCATTGATAACTTATACAAAATTTGGTAATATTCAATAATAAACTCATTATAATATTGTATTTTTTTCAATAATAAATTGCAGTTATTCAAGCCGAAAGAGGATAAAGAGGATTCCACTAAAATAATTTATCAACCACCTAAATCACTATTAGTTGCTTGCCAACAAATCGTAGACTGTCTAATAGAGAATTTACTACAATTAGAAGAATCCAGTGCAGAAGGTAAAGCGATATACAGTCTTTATATGAGAACATTGATCTTTTATATAGGTAGTAAAAACAGCTTCTTTTCCAGGATCTGCATCGTCTCAACGCATTTTAGCGTGCCTTTCAACATTGCATTTATTTGCGAAAATTAGGCCTCAATTGCTTGTTAATCACGCGTTAACATTGCAACCGTACCTGAGTTTAAAATGTCAAGTGAGTAATATAATAATAACAGATAATCTAAAAATATCGGTTTATTCGTATTGGTAATAAAAATATTGAGGTCCAGAAACTTGTGAAATGAAAAGAGTTTTATTTAGTTTGTACAATATTTAAGCGCTTTTAAAAGCAGAATATTCCAATATCGTCAGGAATAGTGCAACACCACATATTTAAAACTTGCTTTTTTAGATTGAAAATTGTATTTTTAATTTGCTTAAAAATAACTCTCAATTGCAGTGTAGTAACGCGGTATTGTACTATCCCTGACGATATACATTTATATACAGACTTAAGATCACAACACTGAACAATTAAAATACTCTGTGTTGAACTCGGATTTAGTTTACAAATACCTCTTTTTAAACCTTTCTTGTCACATTTCTGGTTGAACTTGATATACTACTGTACTGTATTTTGTTGCAGAATCAATATGAACAGCAGATAATGTCAACGGTGGCGTCGACGTTGGAATTAGTGGTGCCTCTTATGGAACATCCGAGTGAGGTGTTCCTCGCACAGTTAGAAGAGGATGCTGTGAAGTTGATCCTTCAACGGGGGCAACTGGTTATCGCTTCTTGTATAGCATGTCTCGCTGCCATAGTGAATAACTTAACGCACAACTATAAATTAATTAGGGATGTCTTCAATAAATATCATGGTAATTATTTAGTTTTTTCTTTTTTATTTATTTAATAAAAGAACTACAGATACTTGATTTATTCTGTCCAGCTTTCCCTCTGAAGTCAAGTAATTTACTAACAAATGTTAAATGTCGTACTGTTGGTTATATTTGAATTAAGTCTTTGTAAACATGTAGTACGATTGGACATAATTAGAAACTCTCTAACATTAGTTAATTGTTCTTAAAATGTTATAATATAATTTGCAGGTGTGCTTCTCCAATGGAAGCACAGTTGGCAACGAAATCCGGAAATGACGCGAACACTGCACACTAGACCGCATTTCCGGCGTGCACTTTTCATAGTTGGTCTGCTACTGCGATATTTTGACTTCACTGACGCCAAAGTCATTGAAGGTTTACCGGTGAGTTATTTAGATAACTTCTTTATGTCCAGAATCAGATATTTGCTTTATGTCTTTTTTCCTGTCCTAATGAACCGCCATTTTTTTTTCTATTGTTTTTCCATTCTTGACCCTAAATTCCCTATTTAGGGACAGTTTGTAGACAACTTTTTAATATATTTTTATTTTTTAGATATACATGAAATATACCTAAAAAAACATTAAATAAAATATTCATATAGTAAGTTAAAATCTAAAAATAAATTTCATTTAAAAAAAATCCCGCGAAAACGACACTTCTGTCATGGCGACGCTATGACGTCACGGCACTCTAAAATGAATATCGTTCTATTTATGCATAAGATTGAATTCTCTAAGTTTTGACATGAGTAACAAGGGCGTGACGTCACGCGCTGTTTGCGGTCTCGTGACAACAAGCATATTAATACAAATTTATAGATAACAATACAAATACGAAAAAATACAAATATAATATGAGTTGTTTATTGAGTTTTGAAAACTAATTTACTTTTATACATGAAGGAAACCGGAAGGGTTGTCATGCAGAAATCGAGAATGTACCGTAGCGACATCTAGTTTGATTTTGGGGACTAATGTTTTTTTTTCCTCATTGGTTTAAGCAATATTATAAATATAATAGTCATAAAAGTGTGATTATTGGTAAAAATCTGCTGGTCCCTCTCCTGTTTTAATAAAAAGAATTTGTTAAATTTTTCCTTTCTTTTTAATTATCTCAATAATAATTAAAAACAAGATACGGTCGATTCTCCGCCCCCTAAATCATCTAATGCGTCCAAGACTAGTAAATATCGCGGATATACGATTTTCTACTGTCCTATTTTGTCTTAAACAATTCCATTCCATAATTTCTTGATAATACCTTTAATTTACGATACAATTCATATGAAGTTTTAGTCTTGTAAGTGAAGTCATTTAATATATATTTTTAAAATTTATTTACAGAGTGATATAAAAGAGCAAGTGTTCAACACTATGATGTTCTTTGTGGGCCTCGAAGATGAAGATTTCGTATCACACACATTGAAAGCGCTTGGTTCAATATGCGTGCGGCACTACGAGTTCATGCTGAGGCCAGAACTTAAAGAGTTCTACCACCAACTTCTAACATCTGACCTCGCGCCCATAGAAATGAAGGCTGACGTGCTACGGAACATAGAAATGTACTTACAAGAGGAAGAACAAAGGATGATCAGACAGGATAAAGAATGTGAGCTTTATTGAACATTGTACATAGCTATAGATATGATACGAGTATTTATTATTATATGGATACTATCGTTCTACATGAGTGCCACACCTAGAAATTGCAAGTTATGTCGATTACCGTAAAATGTTAAACTTCGTAAAATGTTTTGTCTAACCTGATTTACTAGTAATTTTACAATAATATAAACAAAAATACATTTTATACAGAATGGGATAGGGAGATCAAACTGCGTGAGTGAGATCTTCCAAAATATTTCCGTCCCTCATTTGACTGTTTTGGGAAAAGTATTTTAAAACTTTCAGATGGTCCATATCAAACCACTTCCAGATTTACAAACGAAAACGTTTATTAATTAATTTTCATCGTCCCGCGAAAACAATCAGTCACATAACATTTCTAACCGTAACGTCTCATTTCAATTCATATGAGTACTGGTTGTACTCGCAACAAAGACTGACATTTAGTTTATTGAAATGTGACGTCACACGAAGCATCGTGTGACGTCACATTACGTAGCAACGTCATGGCCGCCCGCGTTCTTGTAATCCACAGATTGTAAATCGAAAGTTCAATTTGCAATAATAAAATATACTTACCTCACAATTTCTTTGAAAAAATTACTACAAAGTTATTGTTACATAAATTTACAATTTCCAACATACTTCATAATTTATTATTGAACCATTTTAATAAAAATAAAAAATCTAATGATCTCAAATTGAGATGTCGCACACTACTCACAGTCTTCACACTTCAGTCGAGTGAAGTATTCACTCATACAGTTTCCTTAGGTTGCCGTCCCTCTAGTAACGAAAATTTGGTTGAAATGTACCAGAGTAGCATTCCACGTGGTGATGACATCCATTTTCAAAAAGTATACACTTGCGCTTAAATAGCGCAGCAGCTGAAAACGAAACTATAACACCCCATTCAATTTCTACTTTCAAGCGATTCATTTGACAAATCAGTTTATAACTTAGGTATGCTCCACCTGTATAACTAGGTATATGAAAATACTCATGACTCGATAGATATAATGTAGTTGCACGTACTATTTGTACCGCTATTGCGTCGATGTACGCGTAATGCTTTGTATGGGGTATAACCAATGGAATTAAAAAGCAAAGTTGCCAATGGCATAGTGCAGACCAGTGGTAAATAGCTATATAATAATTTTGTTTCACAACAGCGTCATGTATGCACCCCAATTAAAATAGTATCTGCTATGATATCCTAAGGTATATTTCAAAATCTGACCTTAGGCCATCATTTCAATATTATTCTTAATGTATAATATTTATCTTGTAGGGTCAAAACGATCGAAACACGAGAATCTGAAGGAAATGGGTGATGTATCATCCGGTATGGCGTCTACTGTGATCCAATTGTACCTGAAGGAGATTCTGGGATCGTTTCTGCACAATAGCACGGTGGTACGATCCAGTGCGATGAAGGTCGTACAACTTGTGCTAGCTCAGGGGCTCGTTCATCCTGTGCAGGTAATGTACTTATTTTTTATGTATTTATTTTTTCAGCTAGTGGTCATAAGTTGGTAGTTAAAATTTAAAAGGATTTTTTTTTCTTCTTTTTAGAGCGTTTAAATAAAAGCTTTTTTTTTTAAGTTTTGAAATGGTTATGATTGTGATTTGATTTTTAGCTTTTATACCTTTCTTTTAATCTTTGCTGTCCGTATTTTATCGACGAGTACTTTTATATATATATATATATATATATATATATCGGTATTAGTGTGATGCATCCTTATTTTAAACATGACACGTCGCTGAACCATCAAAACTAAATGAGCGTAGTAAAGGTAGTAAAACGAGGCATTCATAAAAACAGAAATTTAACTATTACTTGTACGAATACATACGCACGTTGAGAATGACAATGACACTAACCAAAAACGACGTATTTTTTTACTTTAGGCAACATTTTTCTTTGTTAAGTATAAACTTTAAAATGCAAAGATCTCTGTGAACGTAGCTTGCCTAGAAACTGCTAGGTGGCGTAGTGACGATACGTTGTTCAGAGGGGCCGATTACAATTTCTTGAACTTTAAACGCTCATTACTCAAAATCACATATTTTGCATTGTGTCACTATCGTTCTTAACGTGCGAATATGATACCTGAAGGCCTAGTCGATTCTCCAAAATCGAAATCTCGGCTATTTTTCGAAATGCTAAAGTGATTCCAAAGAAACACATTATTCGAAAAATTTATGATGCGAACAGAGGTAGGATACTGTGATACCTGATACTGCTTTGATACACAAATGATATTTTAACGATGACTCGAGAAATTTTACGGATTTTGGTTCAAGGATAAATACGAGAGGTTCTCGGGTGTTATGCCGTCAGACAGGTCGGGTCTATATATAAAATGAAGTTTTCTACATTGTCTCGAATTTGAGTGTTGTCTTCACGTTCGATATCACCGACACTACATAATACGAGGTTTCCAACTAATATACTGTAACTAGAGATTCGTACTCCAGAAAGAACATGAAAGTTGAACAATGCTACTGAAGAACGCTACGCTTGTTTGCAAGATGTAGTTACATCCTAAAACATTCTATCGTTGACAGTACATTTATGTTCGTCTTTCATTACGTCTTTGTCTGTAGCACAACATAAACAAATAATTGCAGAAATAATATTTTATTTAAAATGTCTAAAAAAATATACACGTCATATGTATTTTGGCATAAAGCCGATCGGGTTTATCACTTGTTTGTTGATTATATGTTTATTTATGACTTACTTCCTGACTTTCAAATCTCTCTGGAACTGTGCCAGCTTCTTGTTGTTTCATCTAATGTACCTAAATTGTAATTGATGAGGATCTGTATACATAACTTTTGTGTAGATATTGTAAAATGCGTTATTAATAATTTTATGGTGCTGAGCAATAATAACAAATTTTGTTACAAATAAAATATAAATGATACTGAGTAAATATTATAAGTGGATTTACTTTATTAAAAATAATTAGAAAAAGTTCCCAATTTCGTTTCTTTATATAAAAATGCAATTAGAGTGTTTCTATAATAACGATACTAATGGATGAATATAAGAACTTGTACTAACAAAATAAAAACCGACCCGAGAAATGTTGTTATAGTATTTTTTGGTACAGAACAACGACGAAGCAGTGATTGAAAACTGGTGGTCCAAAATTTAATTATAAATGAAAATTTATAAATATAAATATTAAAATGAATGCTTTCGACACAGGATAGTACTCGTTTGAGTGACATTCTGTAAAATGTTTCCAAGTTTCTGGTTCTGGACGTGCGTAGATATATTTATAAACCTTATGTTAAAAAAGGTAATAGTCGTGTGAACATGCATTATTTAAATTCATGTATTTCTTTCCAGATTGTTCCATACTTAATATGTATGAGTACAGACACCGAAGTTACAGTGTCACATACAGCAGATAAAAACCTTCAAGACATAGATAAAAAATACCCTGGTTTTATTCATATGAAGGCACAATTGGGCATCAAACTGTCTTATCAATTACAGAAAATATTACAAACTAGCACGAAAAGCGAAATTATTAGAGGATTTAGGTAAATTGTCTAATAATTGAAGTTCTCTATGTGTGGAATTATTACGTTTTTATCATTGTAGTTGTGTGATGTAACTCATTTGTTATAGGAAAAAGGATCAAGATGATTTACCTACAGCTCTAAATGGATTTCTGTATTCATTATTACGAAACACGAGGCCGCAACGACGTGCGTTAGTGTTGTCGTTACTGAAACAATTCGACGATGTATCTGTAAGTAGTATTATTATATGTTGGAATATTTTATTCGTGACAGAGATACAGCATGGGAATTGATCTGAAAAAGAGAATTGACGTTGATATTATTATGTAGTTTATTATTTTAATAATAAAAAAATGTTTTTCAGACGACGCCTCTGGATCAAATGTTGTACCTGGCCGATAATTTAAGTTATTTCCCGTATCAAGTTCAAGATGAACCACTTTTTATAATACATCACATCGATATTATCATTTCTACGTCAGGGTCAAATTTATTACAGCTTTTTCGTGAGGTAAGTAAATTAAAATGTCGTATCATATATCTATCTATATATTTGTCAATTCTGCTATTCTGCTGACAACATGCAAAGCATTTTCAATTGGGTATCTTCCAAGCTCTAATATTTAGATAAAGTTTTAAATGTATAATTTTGTTCGACGCCCTTAGCCAAGAGTTTATTGGTGGTTGGCACTGTAAAGTCTCACAAGTCCTGAGCATGCTCCGTGATAGGGCGAAACACTTTTAAAATGGCGATATCGAGATTTGTTACCGCTTTGCATGTGAATTTGTGTACGGATGGTGCACAGTAGGTGTTGTAGATACTGGGTGTAGAAGTTGCTAAATGTCATAATTTCACAGTTATAACAATGGATTCCGCAAATTAACGATTTTATAAATACTTCGGTAGATAATAGGATTAAGTTCGATTAACGGTATATTTCAAATTTCTATAATAGTCATTGATAGCTAGTGGAAATGAGCACTATAAATAAGAAATAATAGATATATGATAAAATATAATAATAAATAATAGATCACAAATCACAGCAAAGTACGGGAAAATAACAATTACAATAATAAAGTCAGAAACAAAGAACAAAATCAAAAGGAATAAAGAAAATATATAAAGCTATAAAAAAGGATGGCGTCTTTCTAGCCAGTCACCAACAGTCATTTTATCTCATTTCTATAAGACAAGTACTTCTACTTACGTTGGAATAAATGTAACTGTTGTGCTTATATACAAAAATCGATTTGATTCCTATTGATTGACCTACAGGGTCTTATCAAAGAAAATTCTGAAGAAAAAGAGCCATTGGATGAAGAGGAAGATGACGAGGAGGCGGAATCGCTGATGACGCGTTTGCCGGTATGCACGCGGCCGCTGCGAGACGCGATGAGACAAGCGCGCGGCTGTTTACTTCTACTAGTACTCAAGCAACATCTCAAACAGCTCTACGGCTTCACAGACGCGTAAGCATTTTAGTTTTATAACCGTTCTGAAGACCGAACATTACTGCGTAATAGCGACGATGACTACTAGCTTTTAAAAAAGAAATTCTATTTAGTCTGTCTGTCAGATAATTGAAAAATACTAGATACGTATTAATTATATCGCCGTAGAGTAGCTCGGTGGCGTAGTGGATATGCGCCGCGGCGGCGATCGTTGTCGTTAAGTAACTTTCGCAAGGGTCGGTCACGGGATGGGTGACCAAAAAATTATTATCTCGAGCTAGTCCGCTACTCTGCTTCGGAAGCTACTTTAAGCCGTTGGTCCCGGCTGCATTTGTAGTCATTAATACCCGCCAATCCGCATTGGGCCAGCGTGGATAAGAAAGGCCTGAGTCCCTGCAGTGGGGTTGGAATAAAGGGCTGATGATGATGATGATAATGATGAAATCGCCGGAATTTCAATAAATTAATAATCGTAATCAATTTACGCTAAAAAAATTCAATAATCTACCTGACGGACAAACAAACAAAAATTAGTCATCCTTTATTTAAATGCCGTTACCCTCTTAAAGTTCCATATTTTTTAGTATAAGCGATGTGGTATCCGATTTGCTGTCCGACCAAGTACTTACAATGACTCCATTCTGATATGGCATAATGAAAAAATTCGATTAAATTACATTGTATCACTTATGATGGACTAGGATATATGCATTAGTCGTGCATATTTTAAATGAGTAATTTAGTTATTATTCCTCTATAATGTGATGGGATTGTAACAAGGATGCTTTCTGTCCTTATCACTCCGTTACGGCATATTAGACTAAAATCATAAGTATAGTATGTTCACCCTTGTCTAATTAATATTTTAAACATTCGCATTGCAGTTAATATATCATATAGTTATTTGTTCTTAACTTCAGCTTATATCATAAATATCAATGATCAATATATTTATATTCTCTCATTTGCAATATAAGAAAAGAAAATTCCAACTCCTCCTTGCTTCGTAAGGTATGTTAAGCCGTTTGTCCCGGCTGCATCTACAGTAGTTAACACCTACCAATCCGCATTGAGCCCGCGTGGGTCATGACAGAATTCTCACTATTCGATTCCATCAGCCTATTTAACCACATACTGTATCGAGTGTTTTGATGTGTCATGTGCAGCAAAACTCCAAAGTTATTTCGTATTCGAATAAATATCCTGGCGTTTAAGTTTTCAGTCTTTGCTTTCCTCCTTTAGATCACATCCAATGTCGTCGATTGTCCTCAACTATTAGATTCGATTTCTATTATACCGCCTGGTTAAATCTTAAGATATAATGTGTTTATTTCCTTATTAAATTAAAAAATATAATCGAAAGTTAATATCGAATATCAATATCGAAATAATAGTAATTGATTTCCTGGAAGAAATTGCTACATAGCAATAAGGCTGCCATTTGTGTTCTGTTTCTTCTTAATGTAATTTTCCTGTAATAACTCAATATACAACATTTGCACTCAATATAACACAGGATATTGAGTGCAATAAAATGTATTATTATTATTATTAATAATAATGTTATTTTCTCGAATATCGAAAGTTAAGATGGGTGTTCCGCAAGACTCAATACTTGGTCCTTTGTTGTTTTTAATTTACATTGCCTTATTTCGTAAGGGATTATCATGACATCTGCAAACAAAACGTTTGCGGATGACACTTCACTTTTGTTTAAAATTAAAAGAGGGCCTCTCGTGGGTACGGAATCCTATTGTGGGGAAATGCTGCCGATATATAATCGATTTTTGTGCTTCAGAAGAGCTATTAGATCAATTTATATTCTGAGGATTGGGGACTCTTTAATAAAGTTATTTAAGGAAATAGACATAATGACTTGTTGCCATTATTATTGAATTCTTGTTGTCATTATAAGACCGTACTTTTTTTTCTCTCTATTTATGATTTATTGATCTTAATAAAACACGTTGCGCAGTTGGAATAGACTACTTTTTATTTTTTTTATTACAGCTCTGGACATAAAGCAGTTTCATTACAGCCACTAGATGGCGTTGAGTTTATTTAATTGCTATGAATCCGTTGTAGCTGTTAGTCTTCCGAAAATAAATAAATAATAAATATGAGTATGTGATTGTAACGTATGTTTATAGTAAAATCAACCAGTATTCACCGTCGGAGAGTGTGAAGGTGTACGAAAAAGCAGTGTCGCGGCGGCATGCTCCACTATTCGAGCCGAAGGCGACGATCGCGCAACTACAAGACGCTGATGATGTGGACGAATTAGACGACCGCGCGCGACGGCGGCTCGTCGACGACTATTTAGAGGTAACAGTACATATACAAGTGTATATCAGGAATTGTCAATATTCACGCTATAAATAATATCGTTAAGTAAGAAAATCTAAAGCCTAACGAGAAAAATATAAAATCCGCTCTGGAGGAGCGTGTGTTTAAATGTGTTACAACAATAAAGAGAATGTCCTTTTTGTTGGAGCACATTTAAACAATGTGAATTGACTAGCTAGATTATTATTTTAAGTGGTTTATTTTTTATTTATGTTGAAAATATCATGATTTATTAAATACAATTGAACCGTGCCTCAATTCGGATATTTTTACCGCATTATGGAGAGGTTTTTTCTGATCGGGTTTAATCGGCATATAAATGATTGTCATTTAACTACAAAGTTATTAGTAGTTATAATACGTGATAAATATCAACAGATAAAAGTTATTAACTATGGTGGTGTGATTAAGTTAGTTAATTCTCAGACAAAATGTGGTATTCCAAATAGAAGGGAAATTTCTCTGATATCGCAGTCCCTATAGATAACTGCTATAGGTTTCTGTTTGTTAAAGCTCTTCCATGTTCCGCAGGAAGAAACTAAATCAGATGTATGAACGAGAAATATTTTCCACAGTTTAAACAATTGATGCTGAAATTCGACCCGGAGGAGGAGGAAGATGAGGAGTTTACGCCGGGCGCCGCGAGCGGGAGCGCGACTGGTGCGGCGTCAGTGAGCGCGGGCGCGGGAGCGGGGGCGGAGGCGGGGGCGGGAGCGGGCGAGGCGGGCGGAGGCGCGCCCGCTCCCACGTAGCCCGCCCCAATTTCACCCACCCCCCCCCCCTGTACATTACCCCCCCGCCCCGCTAAACACGCGACGATCTTAAATACGGATGATGACTGGGTTAATAAAAAATAAATTCTTTTTAGTCCGTCAGTCAGATAATGGAAAAATATTAGATACTTTTTTATTGCTTCAATTAAAAATTAACAAGAGAATTAAAAATGAGGGGTGGGAGCTCGCTACGTTACAGTTTTGTAGAAAATGTACAAAAGCGTGCATCATGCGAAATTTCAACTGAATTTATCGCTGTAATTTATTGATTATGCAAAAAATAAAAAATACGTGTTTAATATTTTTCTATAATCTACCTGACGGACAAACAAACATAAAATTTGCCATCATCCCTATACTATTGACTAAGTTATATTTGAGGAACTCGATTTTGTTTTTATATTAAAGTCTTGTGTGTAGATAATTTTTATGAAGAATATATAGTATATGTACCTACTGATCTGATTTGAATTTTTCGCCGATTGCTCGTCCGCGTTACGGTGCGGGGCGAGGCCGCCTCCGTGTAACACATTGTACATACTGGGATCTATTGTAATATTGATTAAATATTTATGTTCACATTATAGGGTTCTGCAATAAATTGCATTTCTTATGATAAGGAGAAATTAAAGTTTAAAGGTTAGATTTTTACGAAATTTATTTTTTTCTCTTTACCCTATTTAACATTAGTGCACGAACTTATCATCGGTTACGATTTTGGTTAATTTTAAATTTTTATACAAGTATTAATGTAAAAAGTTTATTATAATGTTTACGAAACTTTGCTCTGCCTATCGTCTGACACGGCAAACTTATTACACAGGAAAAATATCAGTGTTTCTGAAGTGGGCTTGACTTTGCCATCTGCGATTAACCGCCTCAAATTGCGTATGCGCTGCTTGTGTGGGTATTCATGAGATCCATTACTGGGCTGGAACAAATTTTAAATTATAATGACGGTTTTATGGTTTTACGGATAAATGATGGTACCTAAATGACACCTTAAAAACTATCAAAAGTATGTTCTATTTTATTCAGAGAAAAAATATCGGAGTTATGCTTAATTTCTCATTTTCATAACATTAGTACTTCGTATTTAGAGTTGAAAAAAGTGAGTAAGTGAGGAACCTATGATCCGCAGGTCATCAGAGATCCTACAGTCTTAAAATACTTCAGTTCCGAAAATAAAGTGTAATAATAAATTCTAAAATACAAACATGAAACATTTTGAGAATAGAAAAAATCTTTAAGATATTAACAATGCGGTACCATGATAGGCGCAATGCATTGTTTCTTACTACTTGTTATTTAGGGGAATCCCCACCAAAAATATTTTCAACTAGTTAAATTGATAACAGAAAGTTTACAGTTTGAGACGTAAAGGTAGTGCACATGCCAACTCTGCATTTAAATATGGATACAACGTGATATAACTTTAACTTATACCAATCTCTAAAATATGCCAACATGGTTTATAATATTAATGTGTCCATTTGTCAATTCATCATGCCGATATCAGAAAGTGTTAAATCCATTGAAAATAAAAAAGTAGCTCATACAAAACTTTTAGAGAGTAGCTCATATAAAAGGTTCATTAAAAATAAGGATGGTAAGGGAACTATTCCAACCTGCACAGTATTACAGATACCAAGCAGGTTATTAGATTGTTTTACATTTGAAAACATTTTCAAAAACTGCATATTCCCTATTGTCTATTACCTCCTCTGTTTCGTTGGATTCCGGTGGTGGTACGCCGATTATTGAGTTGTCCCACATGACGGGGTGCCAAGGTCGTCTCACCGGTTTTTCGGGCGGCAATAGCGGCTGTGGCGGCCGCAACGGTAGCGCATTTACATCTACATATACGTCTTCATCTAAATCTGTTCTCGGTGGAGAACTCATTCTTGTTACCTGAACCATATAAAATGCAAATGATGTAAGTATTGGAGATATATATAAGGATACGGTAAGATACAACGGAGTGGCTCATTGATGTGTATTCAACCGCTTGCGGTTATACAAATCTGTCAAATTTCTCCACTTGATTTTAAACTTTAATATTTTGTGGGTAAAGTTAAAAATCAACTGAAGAAATTTGACATATTGTGGTAAGCTGATTTGTGACCGTATATATTTGCGCAGAAAGCTATATCCCGGGATCCGGATAGGACAGGTAAGGATCCCGTCGGGCCTGATACAATCCGTTATTTTTCAAAATAATTATAATAAACCTATAAATACACTAGAGAACGACTAGAACTTAGACCCGTGAACAATTCATCCAATTTTATTATGTTTTTTTTTTATTCCCTAGTAAAGACCCTAGTAAAGCAGTAAAGATTAAAATAGTACATAACCTTATAGAATTTGTAATGATGAACCATTATTATTTAATTTCACTGATTATATGTGCGGGTGGTTCATCTAAGCTTCATCTGTGCTGGCCTCACAGGTTACCTCAATAGGGAATATACGTCTGATTAAAAAAAGGGTGAAATATATTTTATGACGATCATTATTTTTACTTTAAAATACAGTCTATGTGAATATTTTTCAACATTACTTCGTTTTCGTCTTGAAAATGATTATTGAAAATTGCAAAAAAGGGGAACTTTAAAATATTGAAACGCCATGCTACTTGTCAGAGCAGATGTGACGAAAATGTACAGTAAAGACGATTTTGTTTATATCAACATGTATTATATTGCAAATTAAACAGCAGATTACAATCAAAATGATTTTTTATTTTACTAATTTGGTAAACTATTCAACTAAAAAAGTTAAAAAAGTCTATAAAACTTTAAAAACATTGATTTAGATAATTTATTTAATCACTCAAAATCCATCTAATCGCATACTTTGACGTCACGACAAGCGCGCCAGATTCCGGCGTTTAAACTGCTCTTAGTTGTTACCTACTTATATTCATATATTATTATTGTCATTAAATTTTAGGGTATTTTATACATTCATTTAAACATGTATATTATCAAATGAAATCTTTTAAAAAAAATGTTCATATTCCCTATTTTCTGTTATGCCATTTTAGGCGTTTTGATTTTTATTTCTTTGAGAAGGAGAACAGATACATTTATTTATTGTATATTATCACACACTTATGTTTTGTATCAAGAAATATTCCATTTAACAAAGACCTTGATTGTAAGAATTATTTAACAATAGATCTGTGAAGAAAAATAACATTTTGCTTCAGCGAAACAAACATCTAAAAAAAGCTACTGCGCAATAAAGTTAAAAGTGATTTTTATTCGATTAGTTAGTTGGCAAAGAGACAAGAAATCATTTTTTTCAGCGTCTAGCTGCGATGCACTGATTAGTAAACAATCATTTAATTTGAATTTAAAACTTATTTTGGTCTGATTTTACCAGAAATCAATTATCCGAAGACGGATCGATATTCCGTAATATGGCTTATTATAGTTTCGACTCGCGTTTAATTATTACACTAAAACATGATACTTACTGAGGATATACATTGAATTTTAAGCGGATTAATTTCAGACGAGTAGAATGTATACATAACGTCTACGTTTTTTCGTGATGTAAATAATACACCCCGGCAAATAACGTATTTAGTAGCAGTAAAAACCCTTATTTACTGCTACAAAATACGTACTATGTCATGGGGAGTAGGCATGATTTTGTTAAAAGTGTGCGATAAAAACATAGATGTACCTTATTTCTAAATAAATAAAATAATATTTGATATTAAGAAGAGGTCACCCGTTTTTGTGAAATTAAAATATACCACCCACATAACACTGAACTTACAGGCTGATATGAAAGAATCCGGGAAAAACAAAAGCTTTCACAGAACAAAACACCCAACTCTAAACTACGAACAGTTTATTACTGGCCAATGTAATGATGGTATATTTATAATATCATGTGAACTGTTGTATAGACCGTAATAGACTGACATGAACTGATTTAAGTCTTGTGTAGCTCGAAAAGCATTGTATAGCCTCATTCGAACGATTCCGCTCCTTCGCTACGCATCTTGGACGGTTACCAGCAAAAATAGGAACGTTTAAAGACAGTCCCAATTACAAATAGGACACCAACGACCCGGTCGAATCGTTGCCAACCATTGTTCAATTCGATAACGTAGAATTGGAATTTTATTTTTATATTTTCATTCTGTGCTTTCTGTTTGTAATAATTGCTATAATATCTATAAACAGTTTATAATTTCTTGTCGGAAGGACACGAAAAGATGAATACACTGCTATAATTTAACCGAAGTATCTAACTAGTGTCATATTTTGCCGTCGACAAGCCTTTGAAGCCAAGTTTAGATAGGCAGTATGAAGAAAAATTATCCCGGGTTTAGGTGGTTGGTCGAACAACTTCCGTTATTTCCGATTTCGATAACAACAAGGACATTTGTTATTTAACTTTGAGCAACAAATTATAATTAGAAATTATTTATGATATGTTTTAAATTAACCTATTTCTGATAATTTTATAAAATACTAGATTTCCGCCAGCGAAATCTTCCTTTTGAATCTCTCTGTACATTGATGGAAACCGCATTAAAATCCGTTGTACAGAGTAAAATATATCAGACAGCGGGAAGCAATTTTATTTTATACTATGTACGGATGCTTGGACACAATGAAACCGATACCATGAACAAAATTTCCTAGTACTATTAAAAGTAGCTAAAAACATATAATAAACCAATTTTGCAACGCGTGTTTAAACACTTGTTATTTAGTAGTCACAATGTGGTCATTTTAAAATGACTATATTTATTAATCTACAATACTTATATACTTTTATCTAAATTTCGGACATCGCTAATCGGTAGGTCCAACTTCGTTATTTTCTTTGTTATTACGTTAGTTCACGTTTGGGTACAGTTAAATCTGAGCAAATTCGAATCTAGATTCTCATAGGAGCTTTAGCCAGGATCACTGTTATCTTAACAACATTGGAAAGCCGACTTGAACATAATGGAAAAGGTTCTTAATTCTATGGTATCTTAAATTCATATTAAATTATTCTGTACGCACTTAAAGAACATGCAGTCTGTATGCTAACTAAATATTTTATTCTGATTGGAATTTTTAACTAAGTTTGATTTGATTGACAAGGTGTCTTATAAGAGGATTTCAAAAAGGTTAAATAAAATCTCACAGATGAAATCAATTAAGAACATTGTTAAAATCAAAACCATACTATAGATCGCTAAACACGCCTTGTATTTGGCAAGAGACAAATAAGAGAAGTAAAATTTGTCTCATAACTCGTATTCCTTTGTAATAAAATCGAAAACATTGTGATCAGAGGGACTTCTTTCGTGAGACAAACTCTAACCGAGTAGCACGGACGCCGGTCTATTAAAAGTGTCTGAGTTGTCCAGGGTTCGGATTATATTAATTAATTTCAATATAGAAATTAACTTTTTTTATATATTGTCTGGTTATTGTGGTACCTTGGTTGTTTTCATAGATTTACTATAATCTTTGGTTGTTTCTAATACTACATTACACGATAACTTTACTATGCTACTTTTTTGGTATAAGGGTAATGTATGTGATGTCGTCTAATCTAATAAAATCTATATTAATATTATAAAGAGAAAAGATCTGAAACTACTAGACCTATTCAAAAAATTCTTTCGTCTAATAAAATTGAGAGGGATCCATTTATTAAGAAAATATTACCCTTATGTAAATACCTATTGTTAAACCTATTCTAGTGATATCATTCATAATAAATAAATATCACCCGGCCCGGGTAATAAAGCGGTAATCACCGGTTACGCTCTTTTTAATGTTATTTGATATTTTACTTCAAGAATCAATATAACGTTCATAATTATTTTCTTATTTCAAATGAAATTAACAGATTTATTGTAAGTACGTAAAAAATCAGACATAAAATTGGAATAAATTTCTAAGCAAAGAGGTAAGTAATGCAGCTAAATTTTGCTCATAAAATTTACCTAAAAATGGCGGTAATTGGCGACGCTCAATATTCAAAATAAAATTTACGTCGTATTAAATACGACGATACGATATTTAATATTTACATTTCTGATAGCCAGTGGTCAGTACAACGGTATCGACTATAATTTGTATTATAAATTTTGTTAATTATTTCATGAAATATTCAAACAACAATAATTATTTTAAAAAGGTAAAATTGGTGAAAAAATTATCTATCATTGGACATATTGAATCGTCTGGTTTGGATTTTCGTATATTGAACTAAATAAATAGCTTCTTTTATTTTTCCTGTAAAATTAGATTTTTGATATCACCGCTTTATAGGCCGGGGGCAGCGATATGGTATGACGGGGTTAACATAACCAAAAGGATAAAGAAAATTCCAAATAAAAGAATAAAAAAATAATATTTAATTTAATATAAGTATTTTCTACGAAGATGTTGGCATAGGAAGACGTAACGCTGCTGTTTATTCAAATCAATGACATATATATAAAACTCATATTTTTAAATAATTATGCACCTATAATTCTAGAAATGATTATAATAAAAGACTGTAATAACTATTAATTTTAATTATATTCATCTCATATCTATAACTAGTTAACAACGAACAGACAGCTCTTGTGAAAAGTTCAACAACATTCAAATTGCAGCTACCTATATCACTTCATAACAATAGTAAACAACAAAAACATTACGATAAAAACCGCTTAGTTTTTCTTAATTCGGCTCTGTTGACTCATTTTGAAACTGTTCATGCCGAATTAGAAGTAAATCTGTGAAATCTTATTTCGTTACGCAACAAATATCTATTACCCGTTACATTTTGTTGGGTCTTTATTTAAAAGTAAGTATTGTAAAATGGATACGCTCTACTAACATCGCCTGTGTTGGCTAACAATACCAGTCTTACGCGCCCGCGACCGCTTCGTCGAATGAAGCTTCGTGCTCTGACCTAGATAACATGTACTCGGGCAGGGTGACACCCAATGCTGCGCTGTATCTCGGTTGGGTTTCTGCCCAAAACGCTCCTTGAGAGTCAGCTCCCGCGAATTGTTCTGGAGGCGCTATATTACTTTCATCGATGATTTTAGCATTTTCTTCTGCTTCTGCATCAATGCTCCGTTTCGCTTTGTGAGAGGCTTTCTGAGTCGATGCTGCAACAGCAGGGACTGCACTTAAGATGGGTTTCGATGCGGCAGCTACAGCCTGTGGTGCTTTTTTACGTTTTAGCTTTTTTCCATAGCTATTGTTAGCGACTACATATGCAGCTGATTTTTGTACAGCGGGTGTGCTCGTTGTAACAGTTACGCTTTCGGCCCCTTCGTTTCCTTCAGTCAGTGTTGCTGGTTTGGACGTAAATTCTTTTACTTCTTGATAAGCTAAATGACTGCGTTTGGGTGCAGATTCAGACACAAACATGCATTCTTCATGTTTTAGTCCGTTTTTGTCAAGACATTGGAAACAGGTCATACCGTTCTTTTGGACCTTTTTACAAGCAGACCTATCCTTTTTCTTAAATTCTGCTAAGACATGCTCTACATCTTTTTTCTGTTCATTATTAGTATAGAACCCGGGAATAGCCTGTTTGTAATTGTACGGCTTAACTAAAGGATCCTTCTGTTCTTCAGAACTTCCATTTTCTTCAGCAGCTCGCAGTGCTTCGCTTGTTTTGGGTTTGGAAGTATGAACGTAAAATGATTTATATTTTTCCCCAGAGTCATCCGATTCGGGCTTCTCTTCTTTTTTGTAACTACTGTAGGGTTTTTCTTCTTCGGATGAAGATGGCTTAGCGAATTGCTGAGCATCCTCCTTAGGGTTTTTATACTTAGCGCTTTTGGTTGTTTCTTCTTTATCTTTAGTTTCGGGTTCATCTGGTTCATCATTGCTATCAAATTTTCTCTCTTTTGAGTAAGCATATTTGTTATTTTTAGGTTCTGCAACATATGAACAAGATTCATAATTTCCTCCCGTTTTCGGATCCTTGCAAATCATGCAAGTCATATCATCTTTCTTTACTTCTTTACAATTTTGGGGATTTTGTTTTATTTCTGCAGCCTGCTTTTCAGACAGCTCTTTTATTCTTTCGTATTCTTTGTGGTCATAGCCTGAATCATATCCATAGGGATATTCATAATCTTTGTTAGGGTCTTTTTCTTTTTTATAGGCGCTACTATAAGGACTTTCATAACCTTTATAATCATATCCTGATTTGCTGGGATCTTTTTCTTCTTTGTAGGCGCTACTGTAAGCTGGACTATCGAAGGCTTTTGGTTTCGATATATATTCAGCTTTGTAACCGTAAGGATCATCTTCATCCTCTGCACTGCTTTTCCTCAGATTCTCTCTTTTTCTTCCACCTGTGTAACGACGAATACGGGACAATCCTGCAATATAAGCATTTGGCTTGTAATTTTGTTCAATTTCGGGATTTTCAATTAATTCCTCTTTCCTATAATTTAATGGATGAGCAACTTCGACATTTGTAACTGCGGGTTGGAAATAAGCGGCAACAGAAGGATTGCTTTTTAAAGCGGCTAAAATATCTTTTTGTTCGTTCTGTTCATCTTCTTCAGGTTTGTAAACTTTATAATCAGCATCATGAACAGTTCTTATATCATATCGTAATGGTTGACTAATAACCACTTGTTGCTGTTGTACTTGTTTTGGCCTCTCAACCAACTGAGCAGATTTCACGAGCGGTTGAAAGCTTTGACTGGCAATTGGATTAAAACCAAAATTTTCAGGAGAAAATGCGCTTTCTTGAGGTGCTCTGCGCGTTTGTAATGAATCGATGGAACTACTGACAATAGTGTCAAACAGTTGAGGGTATTGGCTTTTATCTACTTTTAGTACTGCTGCGGCAATGGGATTTGAAGCCAGTGAAGTTATGCCTGAAAAAACAATAACTTGTTTGAGGCATTTTGTTAAGTTTGATTTATCGGCGTGCACGCATAAGCATTCAGTGTTTTATGAGTGATTTAACATCTTGATATAGTTACCCACCCGCATCATTTGAGTCAAATAACGACGCAAATTCCTCTGGTTGTACGAAGCCATTTCCATTCTCCTCCTTAGCGAGAACTCCTTCACATATCACCCAAGCCAATAACTGTAACAGGTGATAAATTTAAAATATTGAAAACTGCATTTTAAAATAATTACTTTGAACTTTTTGATTTTTAACACAACACCGTACCAGACAGGCTAGTTTTGACATTTCTAATTAAATGGGTATGAAACCCAGATACGATATTTTACTTCACTTCTCCTCACAGTGTCGAGTTGTATTTCTCGTTTGGGTTGGGATGAAAGTAACGTCACAATATTGCAATGACAACGTTTTATAGGTGTCAATATTGCGAAGGTGAAAGATCTTTGCAACCGAGCGCGCGCGCCACTGAAGCGTGTCACGCTGCGGACAATGTCCGCTTACTCCATCCGGTGGTAGACTGCGTGGGGTCACCATCATCTACCACACTCGGTGAACACACTGGGTGCCGCAATGACGATCTCACATGCATCACATCACGTTTCAATTTCATACATCCTTTATGAATCGCAATTAATTAATTACAAGAGTCCCTTGGTGATCATAAAGTAAACTTTCATTACAAATTAGGGTAGGTCTCGTTATATTTAAGAATAAAAGGAGTTTAAGAAGGATTATTTTTATATATTTTAAAATGTTTTTTAGGTCGCTGGTTTTTACAAATTATCAAGTTTTTATAATTTCTAATAAATAAAAAGAAATATCAATATGATTTTGACGAAAGAGTCTATCGATTAAAAAAAACTAATTCGTTTACAAGCCATGATGCTACAAGTACAAATAATAATAAAAATATATATAAATATTGCTCAGATTTCAAGATAAGTAGGGAGCTATCAAACTTATCACAACCGCTTTTGTGTTTGTGCGTTTGGGGTTAAATGCTATTCAGATCTGAAATCCAAATGTTTTTATGTAATTATAGATATACATATATTTTTACATATGCATATATGTATGTACCTATACTTATTTCTTGTTCTTTTACTCTGTAGCACAATAGGCTCACTTTTCCTAATTACTTGAAAATTAACCATGAAAAGGTTAACTAATGTCATTCAAGTTAATGTTACAGCTTCCTTTCAAAAGATCGTTGAAAATAAGATAAAATTACACGTAATAAGAACACAAAAAGCTTAATACTTACCTGGTAATTACTAACATACAAAATAATGTGAGAAAAGGAAACAATAAAGTATATGGGGCTACTACTCGTAAATTTGCTACATATCGACGTCATACACGACTTTTGATGTGAGCACATATTAAGGAAGCGGCCGATCTAATCGAATCCAGCAAATAGGGCGAAAGCCGAACGGCATAAATGAGTGAACGGCGTAAGTTGTGGTATACTTGTCTACAATTTTCTCTCTAGGAACAAATAAAAATATATTTTCCTTAAAAATTCCACTTTTATAAACTTGCCATTGATAGATATGGTAGGGCTTTATGGTAATAAATCTGTTAGAATCTCGTTTATCATCATGCACATAATAGGAAAATTCATATTATTTCCTTATCATAATAATAAGTTTTATACATATAAACAAAACAGAATTGCAGTTAAGCATTTATGCTCATTTTATAGACCAACTTTTTCGGCGTGCAATGTGATATCTGAATATCTAGTTCTGTTATTGTAAAACTTGTTAGTTTAGTGAAGCTTTATCTCTCTCAATAAAATCATAATAAGAGATAATTTCTATACAATAAATATTAGAAGCAATGTAGTGGTGCTTTGCATACAATGCTAAACTAACAATAAGTAGATAAAGCCGTTGTGGTATAGAAATCTGAAATAACGCAGGCAAAAATACTCGCACCAGAGACAATATTTTGACTAGATCAGGAATCGAACTCAGGACGTCAGACATGGCCAAACTTTGAAATCGGGAATCAATCAGAATAACGCATTTTATTCATACATTATTAACATTACAAGAATATCAATGGTCGACCAGCCCCGGGGCTGGTCGACCCACCATTGAACCACCCTTGTTAATGGAGGTCTTCGAATAATAGGTGATAAAACATTATTGTATGAGGAGCTCATGCTTAGGAAGGCACGTTAAGATGGTCACGGCTGCACTTGCAGTCGTTAATAGCTTTCCAATCTGCATTCCCAAGGAAGGCCTGTGCCCGTGCAGTGGGGACGAAAAAGAGCTGATGATAATGGTATATCGTAATGGTAAGATGTGATGCGTAATAAAACATGATCGAATGAAGTCGCTAAAGTAATCATTAAGAGTAACAATTTAAAACGTCCTTAAATCTTAGGATCATATATTTGTAAAGGTATGAAATAATAAGAAAAAATACTGCACGCAAATCGAAGTACCTATAAAAGGCGTAACAAAGCGGGAAAAGTTGCAGTTGGCATAGCGAACCGCAGATTGCGGACTCGTTCACGTAATCAAAGGGATTTAAAAAAAAGCATTTTTTATATAAAGGCAGAGCCGCTTTCCTAAAGGCTCGATAGCGCTTACATTATACCACCTATACTTTGTCATATGCAAAAACATTCGTAAGAATATATCGCACACCTAGATCTAAACTAAGACAACTCAAAAAACTAATTTGGAGGTTTGACAATACATTTGTTTACATGGCAGGAGCGCGACCACTGTTGATTCAACAAAAGAAAGCTTAAGTTATCTAGCGGCTCATCCCCGAACCTTTATTGACTCTGTTATGTTGGATAGATGCGTATGATCACCGAGTATTTAAATATTGTACTAAGTCAAAACTCGCTAAAATTTTTGAGTTGTCTCAGTTTAGATCTAGGTGTGCGATATGTAATATATTAAGTAAAATCTTGGCTTTCTTTTCGTTTTTATTTTAATGTTTCTGGTGAATTAATAAATTAATCTGAATCTGTAACCACTGCGCCATCGAGCTCCATGAGGATATGGAGAATGGAGATGGCAGTTTACCGCGCTCGGTCTACGATTCTGTTTTTAAGCAACTTTCACAAGAACCGGTCATAGAATTGGTGATTAAAAATGTATTATTTCAAACTCCTCCGTGCTTCACTTTAAGCTATTGGTTCCTGCATCTGCAGTCCTTAACACCCATCAATCCGCACTGGGCCCGCGTGGTGGGTCATGGACCATTCTCCCTATTCGATTCCATTTGTGAGTTTTCACATTCCATGAGTCTGGTGATGATGATAAACTACTCGCTGATTAGCTTTATATTTTGGGAATGCATTACCGGGATACAGGGGTCCCGAAATACCAGGATCGCGCACTATTTTTGCGCAACAATAAACGCCATGTGTTGATCGGCACGCGGAAACGCGTGAATAATGAAATTCATGATGATTTACCTCTTGCCACAGCGACCGAAATGATGCAAGATGAAACTACGGAGCCTGAACCGATATCTCTTGGAGATGAACTTGAACGAACTCTATCGAGTTTTAAAACTGCTTGTCGCACTCATTCTGGAGTACATTCTTTCGAAGTTTTGTTTAAAAAAGAAATGAATTTGTTGGAGTCTTTTGGATTAAAAAAGCAAAATGAGTGTTTTCTGGTGCTAAAGTCAGCAGTCGCTACCTTCTTTGTGGTCTCGTGTGAGGTATTAAAATTGTTTCGTGTCTAAGTGTTTTGATACCTTCGTTGTTTCAGATAGCTACTTCATAATACAACATGGGCTTTAACTACTTATTTTGGAACTAGCGCAATGTAGCGATGTTTTTATTTAAACATTAATATAAAGTTCCGACTTTTATGAAGTATCACAAATTATTTTAACCATAAAATAGAAACACATTTTATCGCGTACATAATTATAATATATTAAAATTTTCAATAATTACATCTACAATATAATATAATAATCCTTAAAGTATGATTTTTATAATTACTTTGTTGCAAGTCTTATAGTTCATTTACCAATTCTACATGCTTCTAAGTAGTTTCCTCCAATTTTCTTAGTAATACTTGACTAGCCGGGTCATTTTTCAATGCTGTTAATATCGATATCTGGAAGTAAAGGAAAAATATTAATATCCGCCTCCTTTCCACATGAAAGTTGCCCATATTTAACGGTTGGTTATCACGTGAGCCAAATAAGAATAGGATTGGGATTTTACGACTTCGAGTTCAATTACAAAAAAACGTCATATACGATGAATTACAAAATATCATAAATATCAAAAATATAAAAATCATAATAAGTTGATTTACAAAAATAAATAATTCCGCTACTTTTTTGTACACCCTGAAGTTGTAGCGCAATGCGAACCAAGATGCTGCTCGACAGTCCTATTCTTATTTAACCCCTGGAAGTAGTCTCTGGAAGCATCACATATGGTCCGCAGTATCTCATAAAATTAATATATAGAAAAATTAGTTAATCTAATAGTTAATCTATTAATATATAACATTTTGTTGCATATTTCAATTATAGCTAACATAAAATGTACCTATAATAATAACACTTATTTTCATATTTATCTAGACTTAGGAACAAAAATTGAAACAAAAACCATGGACCCATTTATTTTAATATGGTGTTATATTAAAATAAAAGGGGCCCATGGCTTTTTGTACACGAGAAGAAAAAACTTGATAGCTGTGGTAAGATAGAAAATGGTACTTATTGACCATTTTCAAATGACAATTTGAAAGGGATTTGCAATCACTTGAAAGATATTCACGAACTTCACGCTACAACTATTTGGCATAAGATTGGGATCGGCATGTTTTTTTAAATTATATTAAATAAAGGATATCGTTAATTTGGCGTAAAGTGAAGTGGAATTGTCTAAGGCAAGCATTATACATACGTTAAAATCATGAATTTTGTGTGACGTAATTTATGGACGCCCCTTAGTTTCAAAATGACATAGAAATAAAAAATCTGATACACGTATATTCAATCAATTTTGTTTTGTATTTTTATACAACAAAATAGAAGCAATAGGATTTCTATACTAAATGACGTGAATTCAAATTCAGGTCTGGATTTCTACCGAATCGCAGGGCAGATCCCGGATTCGAATTCGATAGAGTCAATGCAAAATATGGTCTTTTCTGTAATGTCTCTGGGCGTTTTAGTTTATAGTAAGTTTAGGTTCTGTACAAACTGACGATATTACAACTATATAAGTTCAATATGTCGAAAAAAATTAAGCCGACCGGGAGCTTTCCTCGAAAACGTTGCAAAAAACTTTTGAATTAGAACATGGTTATAACAATACATGTATGGTGTAATCGTATAGAAAATAAAATCAAAGCAGGCACTTCACAAACACTGTCGTCGTTACGAAAGTGTGCGTTTTTTATCAGATCATTATAATGACGAAATTTTGTTGAATAGACACAATAGTTAATTTAATGGCCAGCTAAATTGTTACTCTGGAGGTAATAAACTACAATAACTACATATTTCGTTCTTTTATTGTAAGAACAAATTGCCATATTTAAATCTGTTCTTTAGAATGAGAAGTAATTAAGCTTAATTGTTTCTTATATTTTCATACACGGTACTTATTAAATAAAACTAGTTTTAAAAGGTATTGGCGAGTGTGTTTTTGAAGAATTTATGTAATTTTTCATTTTTCAGACGTTTCGGGTCCTTTACGGTTCATTATGAGTAATAAGTGAAGATGTCCTGTTTGTCTTATTTTGTTTTTAAAATCATAGCCACGTTCAAACAATACTTATTGGACACTACAAAAATACACAGTACTAAATTTTATCACATGGAAACGTTTGTATTAATTTTATGATTACAAATTATTTGAATTACTTAATTTATTGTTTTTTTATTTACTCCTGAACCCTATTACTAAGACTTCGCTGTCTGTCTGTTTATTTTATTGTGTCTAAACCAGAATAACGTATATATTTACTGCCACACAACAAACGTTTTTTACTCGTTTGAGCCGTTGGTCCCAACTTCATTTGGAGTAGTTAACACCCACCAATACCCACTGGGCCGAAAGGATGGATTTTGACCCATTTTCCCAATTCGATTCGAATCCATTCATCTGGAAGCAGTAGTGGGGACAATTAATAGTCTAATTGATCATAACAATTTACATCAGGTGCTATGTTAGCAAATCTTAATTCGAACGAGTTTACTACACGAGTCTAAATAAATCATAAGAAATAAAGATAATAGGTTGGAGAAAAAAAATATTTTCATATAAAAATTCAAAACATTTTTAATAAAGTTTATTTACGTTTAACTAAAGTATGTAGGTACTGCTTGGTTCGATAACTTTTTGTCATCTTGTTGGTAGAAATTATGGGGCTTTTGATCAAAAACCGCAACAAGTGGTTTTGGCAGTCCTCGCGTGATGTTAACCCGTTACTGCCTAAAAAAATCTGAAGAGATCGAAACAGGTGGAAATCTGTAGGTGCAATCTGTAGGTCAGGGCTTTACGGCGGATACATTAACATCTCGCAGCCAAACTCTTAATTTTTGCTGAGTAGCAAAAGATGTGTGTGAGATCTAGCATTATTATGATGAAAACTGATTAATTCTGGTCGCTTTCTCTTAACTTCTTGCATTAATCTCACCAGTTGTTCTCAAGTAGAGTTCTAAATCGATGGTTCTGCCTGGTAACAGCTTATAATGAATAATGCCCTTCCAATCCCACCATACACACAGCATGCACCTTGTTGCTAGTTAACCCAGGTTTCGCCACAGTCTGTCAAGCCTGACTGACCTTTGACCACGACCTTTTTCGCACGTTCTTATCGTACGTAATCACTTGTCATCACCAGTTATCAGCTTCTTCACAAACGGTTCGACTTCATTACGCCGCACATTGGGGCCAACGTAGGCAATCGGTGATATAAAATAATATTTTCTTATTTTTTATTATATATATTACTTACAAAAGTAAGTAATTAAGTAATATAAAACTTCTCATGCAGAAAATGAAGTTATATCTTGTTTTTCAAATGACTTTCTAACGGTTTCCGGACATTCAATAGGACTTTTAATAATGTCAGCAGACTGCCCATCAGCCCTAACCTTCATCTTAGTGGAATATTATAGTTCGCTTGTGGATGTGGAAGCCCTAATATCAGCCGTACGCCTACTCTTGACTTGGTCACTGCTACTATGGAAATCTATTGTAGGTCTACCAGGTAGGTCTGAGTATTTAGGAAAACTAACTTTTTCTGTCAGCCATCGATTTTCTGATGACAAAAACTTAGATCTCACTCGACTGCACTGATTTTATTTGCTTTTAAATTGGAACTTATAAGTTTTTAAAACATTTCATAGATCTTGTATGTGTTTTTGATACCTAACAGTTTCTATTTCCGACCAAAAATAACTCAAGGTCTTCAAGTTTTTTATCAATATTTTGAACTAACTTTTAAATATAATATTGACTAAAACATAGCTTGTATAAGTAAAATTTTTTGGTACTCATTACTGTAAATTATAAATAAAATAACTCATAAATAAAGAGAATTATCAAAAATATTTATTTACGCTGGAAACTTAAGTCTATCTACTCCAACGAAAACTACTGACCTATAAGAAAATAATAAAATTATAGCAAAGTAGAAAGGACTTTGAGTTTGGAACGGAAATATAGACATTTTGAACTAAATAAAACAACTTCAGAATGTAATTAACTCATTGCTCTTATGTCACTTTTTCAACTGGATGTAATTAACGCAAATATTCAACTGCATTTTTTTAATGGACTGCATATCACCAATACCCTATATTGGCCCCAATGTGCGCTGTAATTTGTAATGCTTTAACAAATGAGTACACAGATTTTTTCAGTGAGCTCGTGAAGTAGCCAATTATCCAACTTTTTTGTGTACCCAGCTTTTTTAAATGCACCAAAACTATTTTGTGATCAGTCCCCAGTTCTTCAGCTACGTCGTAACTACTGATACGCTGATCTTGCTCCACTTTTCCAAAATGACATCCATTTTATCCGTTACAGGGCGACCGGAGCAACATGCATCTTTGACATCAAAATTTTCCGTAACGAATTTCTTCATTAGATCCACTCATTTTGACGGTAAGAAAAACAAATGAAAATCACACATTTTCCTTATTTGATTTTGGCGTTATCTTCTTTAAAATTTAAACTCTTACTGTTACCGAAACCAGACAGATACAAATAGTAAAGCCAGAATGATTTTATTACAAGTTTATGCATACCATATGCGAAAAGACTTCCCTAATCTAATAATATTCCTAAGCACACTATCGACTTGGTTGTCACTTTTGATCTACTACATTTTGTGTTATGTTTATGTGATCCATTTATATGTATTATTTATATTTTATGTTATTTGTATTTATTTATAAGTATCATATTGTAAGTAATAACGATTCTTTTAGACGCTATAGACTGCCCAATTATACTTTATTTAGTCCTTTCTGTAACGGTTGCCTGAAAGAAATCGCGTCTAAGCCGCCGACCCGTATCTACAGTGATTAAATGTAATTATGTACTCAATATTTTAATATTTTTGACAAATAAACAAGAATTTGAATAAAGTAAAAACAGTTACTACTAAGAGAATATTATTATTAGCTATTAACAATTCTTATTTCATTCAATTTCTCGTCTATTGGTTAAAAATATCTGTAATGCCATTTCAAAAATTTTCATTCTTATCTCGCCTATAGAATAATACGAGTGTAAAGAAAAAGATTACTTACGGCCATTTTATTATTAGAATCTTGCAATTTTTGTGATAGAATCCACAGGTTAGCGGCCAGACTGAGCATTGGTGCCTTGCTTAGATCTCCGCGCCTCACCACGCGCCAGAACAATTCCAGAGCTAGATTGTACTGTTTTTTCGTTTCCTTGGCATCTCCAAGCATCTTCAAAACCACGAGCAACTCCTGACATATGTTTGTGGCATGTTTGTCTAATACCTGTATGAATTCCTCTTCGGAGCCATATAGTTTATCGTTAGAGAGCACTGTCGGAATAAATTACACTGAGATTTACTAAATTTAAAATTAACTTTTTTAATAAATAGTATTTTAGATATTAATTTTTATACTACCCATTAAAAAGCGAAAAAGAAACAAACAAGTTAAGATAAATCGGCTCGGGTGTCTTATTTAATAAATACATTCATGTCATGATTTCCAAATTTATAAAAAAAAATATTTTATTGTTTTTCGCTTTCAAAAGAAAGTGAATTACCACTGATAGCTACCCATAAAAAAATTTAATAAAATAACTTATGAAGAGTTACAGTATTCAGTATTCTCCACACAGCAAAAGTAATTTTATTAGATCCGTTAACTCAATCAACATTATTGCTATATTATTTCTTTATACAATGAATATCCTAAAAAAATTTGTTTTTAAAATTTTATTCTTGTATTTTGAAATATTTGTACACATATTCTTTAAAAATTAACTAGTATATGTGTTATTTAATAAACAAATAAATCAATAGATAATTAAACTAACCAGCTTCAATGTGATACGCGTATGTGTCTTGTGTCATTTCACACAGTAAATCCAGAATGCGTAAAAGTGTGTTATAATAAAGGGGGTCCGATTTACTCCAATGTATCCTCTCTATCATCTTTATGAAACCACTCAATACGTACGCTTTACAATTTGTGTCCATGTTGTCCTAAAAATTACACACTGTTAAGGTGATAAGGTACTTATTTAACTAATGTAAGATTAATTAATTGTTGAGTAGTGTTGTTAAAATATAAATACCAACAGGCAAGATGAGTAATGTGGACAGAAAATCGCTTATGATCCCGCTGACTTTAATATGCGTAGGTTTTCTTTGGTTGTCTTCTAATATGAATTCAGGAATGTCTGGTATAAGTCCAACCAGGGCTTTAAAATTTGCTTCAGCTGCAAATGAATTATTTATGAATTATTAGGAAATAATAAAGAAGTAAATACTTTAATCAAGTATATATACACTTTTTAATTAGGAATTTATAATAAAATAATTTGTCGAAGTTGGAATCTGCCCTTATCATTCCCATGTGACTTTATTAAGCGCTCTTGTCGCGCGTGCAAAAAATATTCAAACTACAAGGTATTTTTTTAGTTTTCAAGATGAGGTTCCGCCAACAAAAACCAATTAGGGTTCAAAGATTTTTTATTGTAGGGAAAATACAATAAATATATTGTAAAGGTACTGACAGACATGCTCCTTAGTAGCACGAAAGCATGCTACTAATGAGCATTGCTCATTAATAGCAATTATGTCGTAACGTTACTGGTAATGAGCATGCTTTCTGAGGTGTGGGTGGAAGGAGGGAGTGCTTGAGCATGTCTGAACAGGTTTTATTATGAGCACGCTTATTGTCATTTGCTTATTGTACCTTATTATAGAAGTAAAAAAATAAACACTTTTGAACACAAGTTCGTGAGCGTGCCTAAAATAAACATTTCTGTATAGCGAAAGAGCGTGCTTTTTAGCTATCAATAGGAGTGTACACAACTTTTTTTTTATAAATATACATGAAATATACCTTAAAAAATATCATTCAAATATTAAGCTAAAATCTAAAAACAAGTTTAATTTTCAAAATTTTCTGCGAAAACGCCACTTCGATCATGGCGTCGCTATGACGTCACGGTACTCTGAAACGAATATCGTTCTATGTATGGTAAGATCATATGGCTAAATTCTCTAAGTTCTGATATGAGTAAGAAGGGCGTGACGTCACGCGCTGTTACAGCGAGCATTAATTATTTATTTCATAATTAGTTTAACCAATATTATAAATATAATAAGCTTAAAAGTTTAATTATCAGCAATAGTATATTAAACACTGTCAGAAAAAAAAAATGTATTTAATTACGTTTACGCCTGTCTAGCATGTCACTAATGAGCATGTCTGTCAGCACCTTTATAAAATCAATGTTCTATAAGTCCTACCTTGACCGATGCAGTTGTTGAGCAGCGCCACCTGCCCAGAGAGCAGGTAGAGATGAGCACGTGTTAGCGCACAGTGTAACGACGGTACCGTTACGAAGCAGTACGCTGCGCACGCGCGCTGCAACCATCGCGCCCCACCACCCCCCACCCCACTCACACCCGCGCCCCGTGACCCAGTGCGCGCCGCTAACCTATTCACTGCCTACGGAGCATAGTATTTTTTTAAACTATTTCATATACACTTGGGAGCAAAGAAATGGAGTCACATTTTTGAATAAATATTTCCTGTTATCAGTATTTTATTACTACAAAACATATGTCATATAAAAGTTTATTTAGTAACCTTTAAGTTAACGGTAAATTATTGAAAGCTTATTAATTTTCTTAAAAGATTTGGTGAGGTTTATTACAAAGTCTATAAAAACAAATCATAAAAAAATATTCATCCTCAATAGCTGGTATTACCTCCCAGTGCTCTAATGCATGTATGCAATCGGTTATTCACTGATCAGATCAGCGTCACGATAACAAGTTGCGTAATATTCTACTATTCTTCAAGAATTGTGCTCAGGAATAGACGAACTTACAGAAACTCTGGCTTGAACTCTTCGTTTAAGTTTGTCCCATAGGTTCTCAAGCGGATTTAAGTCCGGACTTCGTGATAGTCATGTCACTTGTTATACACCAACTGCCGATAATAGACTACAGGCCCATGTTGAAAAAGTTATGGGTCATTTGAACCACCAGGTGACCTGTCTAGAACGATATAAGAGCATAAAAAAATAAGATTCAGTACTATGCCGTCACTTGTAAGCTGTCCAACTGAGTGCAGGTGAGAATTCGAAAGTTCAGGTAGAGTGAGTACATTTTGGTCACATATTTTTGTACGGCATTTTTACCACCGATAGATCCATTAAAAATAATAAGAAAACGCGCAGTGCCGTAAAAAAATGGTGCGCCACAAAGTCGGATTTTTTTTTTATTTTCCGATAATTACCGGGGTAAATTTGGTCATTTGATTTTGTACGGCATCTGTGTCATACTATTTCAATACTGCTTCTTATCCATTATTCCGCAACGCCGTACAAAAATCATGTGACAAGGGGAAAAAATCGAGGGTTGCAACCCCCTCTCTTTCCGTAGTCCAGGGGGTGATTTGAAAAAGTACGGCTTCGGTTCCAAAACATTATCTAGCACTCAAAAGTACTATTAAAAGTAATGCCGTCAAAAAATGATTGTTCCTTTGAATGTATACCACTAATCATCTTAATTTCATCGTATCCTTGATTTATAGAGCTGTAAAGTCATTTGATCCTGTACGGGAACTTTTTTTTTAACATGATATTGTAAAATACAATTATTATATAGTATTGCCGTTCAAAAGAAACCGTTCTAAAAAAAATTATAGAGAAATGCAAAAACTTAAATTTTGTAAAAGTTTAAATATCATAGATTAACGAAATATAGCAGTTTTCTACATTTTATCCCTTGTTTTAAATAATATTAACATAGATAAATTAGGAAAAAATGATGCCGTACATTTTTATGCAGACCATATCTTTGAGGCTAATGAAAGTGACGCTAGAATTTTAAGGGTACTTTATGGCCATCTGATACAGTGCGGCATTAACATATTTTTGAAGAGAACAATTGTTAATATGATAAAATCACTATGACGTCTAACTGAACTGAAACGGTGTATATTATGTCCAAGAATTGAAACTGTCAATCCCAGTATCAACAGTTTTATATACTTTTTGGTTTAATATATACTTCAAACATTATTGATACATACATATAATTGATTTGTTTCATTGTAATTATGTTTCCAGGCACTTCACTACCCATCTACCGTAATCAGCTATGTTGCTATTTAAAACGGTAATTTCGCGATATTCATTACATTACATGCTTAGTACGACGCAATGTAATAAATATGCGCACTTCTCCAGCAATGTACGATATATTTTCTTGGAAATATTATTTGTGATTCACACTTTTGAAAACATTTCACGATTTTCGACTAAAAATACTAAATTTGAGAAGTGTTCTACTTAATAATGGAAAGAAATCCTTCCTTTGGACCTACTTGAGGATGGGCTTCTTGTTTTGCAATTAATAACTGCGAAAGTCGGCACTTTTAACACTTTTAGTGGCGTGTTTCACAGTACTTACAGCGCGCGCGTACGTGAATGACTAAACATCGCGATCGCGTGGTGAAGTCACGATCCTGTACATTTGTCTAGGATCGTGGCTGCACTGCCACGCCCACAAGGCCCTTCTAACGTCTTTCTGCGTTCTGTGAATCGAACTATGTGTGAGTGTACGCAAACACCTTACTCGGGTCCAAGCCGAGTACATCCGAATAAAATACGATATTCCCTACAAATGCTAAACATCGCACAGTAGTTTAGAATGCACATTTAAATTAGTACAAATAATCTATCTAAATGCCGTATAAAAAAATTTTCACAATATAAATTAAATTCACCTTACATTTCGTTATATGGATTTTTTCTTTTTCAGTTTTTTCCCCTTTGAACCAACGAAAATGTACGGCACATGAAAAAATATTATCTATACATAAATTACTTTCAAAATAAATTTATTTCATGTTGTGTCAAATCACCCCTTGGACTACGGAAAGAGAGGGGGTTGCAGCCCTCGATTTTTTCCCCTTGTCGCATGATTTTTGTACGGCGTTGCGGAATAATGGATAAGAAGCAGTATTGAAATAGTATGACACAGATGCCGTACAAAATCAAATGACCAAATTTACCCCGGTAATTGTCGGAAAATAAAAAAAAAATCCGACTTTGTGGCGCACCATTTTTTTACGGCACTGCGCGTTTTCTTATTATTTTTAATGGATCTATCGGTGGTAAAAATGCCGTACAAAAATATGTGACCAAAATGTACTCACTCTACCTGAACTTTCGAATTCTCACCTGCACTCAGTTGGACAGCTTACAAGTGACGGCATAGTACTGAATCTTATTTTTTTATGCTCTTATATCGTTCTAGACAGGTCACCTGGTGGTTCAAATAACCCGTAACTTTTTCAACATGGGCCTGTAGTCTATAAGTCCTCAGTAACAATTCTTGCATTGTGAGGTCTTGCATTGTCATGCATAAACATTAAATTTTCGCCAATTATACCGTCTAATCGGAATAAAGTAATCTGTGAGCTGTCAAACCACGCCTACCACTTCCATCATTGGCGGGGTCGACGACTCCATGTTCTGTTTTAGATTCTAAGGAAATTCCTCCCCACACCATATAAGAACCTCCTCCAAAACTTACAGTATTGAGCAAATCATTCACGTCTGTACACCCTCTCCCTTCCGTCGTTACTAAAAAGACAGATTCTTGTCTCATCAGAAAATAAAACTGACCTCTATTCTTCTAACGTCCAATTAATGTGTTCTTGAGCAATCTGTAGGCGATGTCCGTGATAAGCTACCGTCAATTGCAGGTATGTGTGATGTCAAATTTCGGTCCCTTAGTCTTCGTCTCACTGTCCACCGACTGACTTCAACGTCACGTAGCTGTTGCTGGAGTTGAACAGCGTTTAGACCACGGTTGCATAAAGAAGTGGTTGCAATAAACCAGTTGTCTCATACTGTAGTGGCTCGTGGTCTAAAAGTTCCAGGTCTGCGAGCAAAACTCCCAATCTCTAGGTACCTCTTATACACTTTTTGTACCCTCAGTCTACTTAAATAAAGTCTGCGAGCCACAAAGCTATAATTTGAACAGCTTCTTCAGGTGTGGTATCCATTTTGTCACAATAAACGATTGCCGAAACACTGATGCAGACCACCACCAACCTTCAATGCAAGGACAACAAACAAAACCACTTATTCAATTTTTTTAATGGAGCACAACAAATATATTACAAGCAAGTAAACAAAAATAGTTTTAAGGAACGGTTTAAAACTTTTACAAAAATGATTAGTAATAGGATAAAATACCCTCATTTTAAAGGAAATTAAGTAAACTTTCAAATAGCATATGTTGCCAATTAATACAATTCTTGTAACAGAAAATATTTGCCAACATATTAAAAATCTGTAGTTGCTCCACTTGCTCCCAAATGTATATTAGGTATAACCGTTAGACATATCTTTTAATTTAATTTTATGATCATTAATTACATTAAATTTGTCAATAGGCTATTCTTATCTATTTGAAATGATTCTATTAAATGTTTATTTTCATAAAAAAGCCATAAAACAAATATTTAGGAAAACTAGAAGCGTTTTCTTGCCTTAAAATTAAATAAAATTTTAATATTTTTTTATACCCGCGATAACGCTCTCCGTCATATTCAAGATGTCATTGCGACACAAAACAGATGCATAGAGTAGAAGATGAAAGATGTCAATAAAACAAGAACAGCGTCCACTATCTAGGAATTTGATTTATAATTAATAGGCATAGCTTTATGATTATTTTGACAACTGCCGCCACAGTGATGTCATAAAATGGCGGGTCGTGTTTCAAGTGACGCACACACAAAAATCAAATTTTTTTATTTTAAGATAATAAGACAATCGTAATAAGACAAATTTTAAAACTCAAAATCAGATCTCTATGTTTGTTAATTACACAAAAGCTACATTTTGTCTGTTAACCTTCTTAATAATAAAGAATTTAAATAAAAAATAAGATTAAAAAAAAATACTCACATAAACTAAGACCACGAGAACGGCGTCTAGTTTGATGAACGCGGACCTACACTCCACGTAAAAATTAAGCTGTTGTTCTAAGTCATCTTCATAGTTAACGGCCTGAATAAATTTGTTTATCAACTCTGCGCATGCTTTACTCTCGTCCTCCACAGTCACTGCACTGTAATAAAAATATATAAGTAGTATTTATGTCGCATCCAAGTAGTATAATCAGCTGACCATTTGGGCGGCTAGCCTTTTGATCGAACGGCGCCACTCATTTAACGGGCTGACTTTCGATCAGCTGAGTAGTTGACCACAACGTTCTATATTACGGCTGAACAGAGGTCAGCAAACTAATTAATTATCAATTTATAGGGAATACCGATATTTATTGGCAGGATGCTTATTCTAGGGTGAGAAAAACTAATCGATATTTTAAAAATAAATGGCTAGCCCCTCAATTTAATGGCTATTTTAACCAGTTTGCTGCGACATTGATACTATACCTCATTTTAGAGTACCGTGGTCGAGAGATTCATATGCGAATTCAAAGATGTCGCTATTTCTGAGGTGCTGTTTTAAATTCTCGGAAAAGTCAATATAGTAACCGAATTTTCTTCGGCCCTGTTATGGCCCTGTGTGATTCTTTTACTGGTTTTACTTATTTAGATTGGGTTCTAAGTAATGCAAAGTCAATAGCACGTCAAGTTATACAATTATGTCAATTTTTTTCACTCAATTTTAAACATTAATACATGAATCATAGAGTTGAAAATAAATTGTCATAATTTATATAATATTTATTATGTGTATTTATTAGAAATAATAATAAAGACTTACTTTATAGAATCGTGCAGTATGCAGCAGAGTCTCATTAAACTTGAAATTATTATAAGGTCCTCTATGGTGACAGAGATAAATCTTGAGAAGAAAATGGATAGTACTGTTTTGGCCATCATTGTACGAGCACTGGACGTTTGAACCAACTCCACAAGCGGCATGAAGGCGTCCTATTTTAAGTATAAACTATACAATATCTACCTACGTATAAAGATAAAACCATATCGATCGTAATGAAACACGGAGTAAAAAGGCGAAAGAAAGGAATTAACCCCTCACCAGAAGGTACGAGCCGAATCGCTATGATTCTAAAATCATTAATTTGCGAGGTATAATGAAAAGAAAATTAAATCTTTTCAGCCTAAGAAGTTATATTATTATATTAAGGATGCGGGCTGATTTGAGTACAATATAAAAATAAATATTTCAATAATTTAATGAGAAATAAACATTTCAGATATTTATATACAAGGATAGAAATGTACAAACTTATGATGTCATAAGGATTGTGAGATGAAACCCCATATTAGCAAAAAAATAACTCGACATTCAGATAACTTAGCGTCTACTTTCAATTTTCCATTACCTTCAAATATTAATTATTCAATTTATAGAAACTTTTTTTAAAATTATTTTTATTATAAATTCCTATACAAATAAAGATATCTGTAAACTACTCGCAATAATTTAATTATTTAAAAAAAATGAATTATATATTGATATTATGCCAATAATTATTGGCATAGTTTTAGCTGCTTCGAAATTAATAATGATACTTAATTTCGAAGCCGCTACGAACTATGCCAATTATTATTCAATAAATTCATCTTACCCAAAAAACTTCGAAAATAGTTTTAACTGTGAATTTCTCCTATACAAAATTACTACAAAATGCTATGTACCGGCCGTCCGAGTTCGGTTTGTTCAGCCAAGTAGCGAGGATATTTGTATTTGTAATAGGGCTCTTCAACAAACTTTTCCATAGACAACTCTTAATAACAACAACTGACTTACCATTAAAAACAATTCTTCCACATCAGGAATTGATTTGAGCATTCTCTTGATAACAAATTGAAAGTTACCGGAAAATTCGTCAGCTGGCTTGCCACATTTTATTATATAACGTATTGTGCCCCTCAGTATAATATTAACGTGTTGTGTCTGTAAATTAATATATGAAATGTACATAGACTATTTTGCGATAAGAATTCAACTTAGTCGGTAGGGGAAGTGCACATAATTAACAATAAGTTTATGTTCTTTATCTATACTAATATTACAAAGAGGAAAGGTTCCCGAACTACTGTAAATATTTAAAAAATATTTACATATTTGGGAACAAGTCAGATAATTGATATTTATCCGATAAATATCATGCATATGAAAAGCTGCGATTTATATGTTGATAATGGCTGTATTTGATCTTTTAAATCACAAGTGTAAAATAAATATTAAATTTGATATTTATACATATATATGGTTAATGATAATAAATTAATTAAAAAGTAGTATGAGTGCGAGGATTCCATTCCAACGTACAGGGGAATACCCGACTTAATACATACTTACTATAACAAACCTTATTACGCGAACATAAGATTTAAATTTAAGAATTTTGTGTTTATATTACAGGGGCAATCCGAAACTTCTAGTAAGTAAGATTGCTACTTAGGGGCCAATGTTGCCAGCGTCGTTACAAAAAAATTTTTTCGAGCTGAGACTCAAATACTCAAACTAACAATAAATATTATAAATATCAATAGATATAGGTACATCAAGATATATATATCCGTTGTTATTTATCAGCGAACCCTAGGAAAGCTACATAATAAGCAGCTATAGTTTATGCGGCCAAATTCGCAGGAAAATTACTAGTATTTATATAATTTTATTCGCGTGTGATTGAACTTACCGATAAGTGTGTACATGCGAATTGTATCCATGGTTCTAACACTTGAAGGAAATGAAATGTAGATTTCATGCTACTTGCTATTTTCCACCAAGTTTGAATTAATGCCTCCGGTGCTAATTGCCGATTGTTTTCAGCATTGCACAGATGTTCGCCGAGTGACGTTAATATGTCACCTATCATAACTAAAACATAGAAGTAACGTTTACTATCCATATGAAAGAACATGACATCTGAAAGCCTATTCTATTTCTCGGAAAAAGAAATTGCGTCTATTTTAAAGTACTAATACGGCTCCAACGAAATCCATTTTTCGATTATTTGATACTACGAAGGTAGCCCTGACTTTGCCTCTGTTGGACAGATAATCGTCACGGATATGATTTCAACAAAATTATAAGAACGATTTAAGTTTCCGAATTTTTATTCGAGGACAAATAAAATAGGCCCTTAACACCCGGTTTCTGAATTAAGAATTTAAAGTTAGCACATCTCAAACCTTACTTAAACTATCTTAAACACCACGAAAACAGATTTCTTTTTTTTAATGATCAGTTGTTAGCATTTTCATAAAACTAGGACTTTTTGCCGTGTAAAACGTAAAAAATTTAAGTTATACAGAATAATCAGCTAATATTTTGTACTTTTCTCAATTCAGAAAGCCGCCGTAAGTCTCATATTAATTTGTACGAGTTACAAAATGTGAACCTATGCTAAATGCACTACACATTGTAAAGAAAATAAATTTATTATAATAAGGTCAATCATTATATAATAATATTTGCACTGAAATAGACTAAATGTATAAATACCCATTTTATCTGCAGATTTTTGAACCAGTTCCAAAATCTTTGGGGCCTTTTTTATGACACTTTCTGAATCAAAAGCGTGTACAAGACAGAAAAGAAGTAATTCGCTGGAATAAACATTTCGGTTACATTATATTTTTATCGATAATTATATATTAATTAATATAATTGTATAAACATTTACAATAAATTGATACGCACAAATTTTCCATCTTTTCACATTGCTGAAGCAATTCCTCTAAAAGAGTTAGTTTGCATTTATTAGAGTTAAGAGTACCAAATAATAACCAATCAACTGCTGGTACATAAAGGTTCAAATACTTATCCAAAGTAAATAATTGGACTTCATATTTCTTTTTCATCATTGGGTGGAAAATCTGAAAGCAAAAAAAAATATGTAAAGTATACAGGAAAAATTTCTTTTCATTGCATTTTTTTCTAATGGATCAGTATCGCTAATCGCTAATAGAACAAATTAACGTTGAAACCACTTTTTTTTAAATAGATTAGAGGCATTTTTTTTTTATTTAAATAGTTTAAATATATTAAGTTATTCGTGAGGGATACGTTCCTTAAATATGCCACATACACAGAAAACGCGAGTATGGGATGTCAGTACAATATAGAATTACAGAAGATACGTTCCAAGGTCCCAAGACAAAAGCAATATGTATGTTTAAAAAATACGATTTATTTTATGGAGAACTACCGATTAAAAACAATCTTTATTTATCAGCTTTAAACAAGAGTGTGTGAAGATTTCATTTCATAATTTTCCTTTTTTTTGCAGATTTAAATTAAAAGGTATTGCAAAATCCACCTTCACACATACCCGGAGTATTTAAAAACTGACGATGCGTTAATTAAGGACGCTGAATCCATTTATGTTACCGATTGCATCCACGAATAAACAGATTTAGCCGCGAAGGAATTGGGTTACAACTTTTTCACCCATGAATGATAAAAACGCAAATAAGGAACCTGTGAAAAGATTCTACTGTATTTGGTAATATAGTTTTTTTTTTATTATTATATTAACATCTTTATGTTTAAAGTTACATCATCTTTTTATTTTTCATCTCCTATGTTAACAGATTAAAAAAAAGACAAAAGAAATGTGAATATGATTCATCACAACAAATTAATGTAGTAGGTATTAATTAATTTTGTGCACTGTCTACAATTTTATTATATTTTAGATAAAATATAATAAACAATTTGACCATGTGATAATACTTAAAATTTACCTGTTGATACTCGTCTAGAAATTCTTTCAAGTTATTATAAAAAAATTCTTCACTTTCTTTGCCTAGTAGTTTTGCAGCGATTGTACATAAATAATTACGTAAATACACTGCCACTAATGGATTTCCTATTCCTCTTATCATGATGGTCAACCTAGCAATAGTAGGCTTTATTTCATTTTTGGATAAAAAGACATAACATTTCAATAACGACATTTCCATATACAAACGCGGCAGCAATTCTCTGATTGACGCCATTTTAAATAGCCAGTTCTGGCAAGTCTCTTTTGCACTTTCTGGTATTGAGCTGGGGTCAATGTCGTTTATATCTTTTATAACATTTTGTCTGAAACATTGAAGAAATTTTTTAGTCACTCAATAATGAAATGTGTTCGAAGACTAGTCATAACTACTGAGGGTAATTATCTTTCAAAAGAACCTCCATAGATCAACTGATGGACACCATTTTTCTGCAGTCGGACGGAGTGGAAGGAGAGAGTTTATAGGGGTTCCGTCGGTATTTCCCACCCAGATAGTGGGAGTTTTGAAATTGTTATTCTATTTTATATTTTGTTTCTTTTGTAATTTTTTGTAATCCATTTTCCAAAAAATCATGCAAATCAAACAATAATAACACTTGTGATACTAACTACCTGACTGTTACTAACATACTATAGAGCTTAGGCTCTGCTGATCACCGTATTATATTCGAATAATAAATACTCGCACGCAATTAGCTACTGTTGTTATGCATCCGCTTTAGCTCCGCCCACTTTTAACAGACTACAGATTTTTCAAGAAAAACACATTCCATCTATTTATATTTCTAACCACATTTAAATATGCACACAAATCAACTAAACTGCTTGAACAAATGTTTTCTTAGCTTCTATCTTCTATCTTGCTGCCAAAATAATCATTTTCTATTCTTGCAAAATGTCTGTTTTTTGCTAACCAAACCTCAAAATATACCAATTAATTACATATCCTTTAAAATGAACACTGCCCCATACTTACTTGTAACTTTTTTCTTTTAGTCTATCAAATACTAAAATGCCAAATGTTTCCAGTATGTCAGTTATCAATACAAATTTACTTGGGTAGAACTGCATAACATTCACATCAGAAAGCATTTTGGAACATTGGATTCCAATTTTAAATGCCTTCACTCTTTGCTCTGATTCCCATGCCTAGTTAAAAGAAACAAACAATAATATAATAATTTGAACAGTGAAAGAAACCAACCAAACCAAAAACATTAAAATTGACTTAAAAAAAACGAAAATAATTCAAAAATACTACAAAGGTGGTTAAGAAATTGTTCTTAACTATGTATCTTGCATTTACTGGAAAAATGACCTATAACCTATATACTATATTTTATGAGGAAATATGATAGATTATATTAAAAAGAGATTTTCATGCAATTTCTTTTTTTTTTTTCAAGTTACTATCCATCAGACATATTTATCCCGGATCTCTCAGATTTTGCCATTAAATGGTAAAAGTCCAGATAACTATTCAAAACAATCAAGAAAAAGTTCATTGACCCATATTAATTAAATAAAGTAACAAAATTATACCTTTTTGATCTCATCATTAAGCACATTAATCTTCATTATAAACTCTTGTTGGCTCAAACCCATTGTTTTTCTCACAGACCCTTCTTCAAAGTCATCTAGTTGTTCAAGCCTATGTTTAACTTTTTCATTTAAATTTGATACCTGTCTGAAAAGGGCTGAAATAGAACTAACTAAAAATAAAAAACAAAACAAAAGAAACTTCATTAGAACAGATTAATAATGATGACAATCATAATTTTATACAGCATGTAAATACTGCCTAAATGCACTCAAACTCGGACAGGACTATTCTTGATCAATTTTTTTTTTATCAGAAACCTACAACATATATAGAAAAGAAATGTTTTACTTGAACTTACTTTTTTCACCTCCGGGCAGAAAGCTGCTTACTATTGTTAATTTTTCTCCAGTAGTAAATTTATTCAAAACAGTTGAACGTCGTATATTCCAAGCATTTGAATAATTAGTGAAATCATCGAAAGAGGATTCAATTGGACTGTCATCCTAGACAAATATTAAATATAACTTACCACCAATCAAAACTTTATATTAATATTATACATTATAATAGTTTATACTTATATACTTATATTATATATAAAGAGAAAAGATTTGATTGTTTGTTTGTTTGCAACAAATAGGCTCTAAAACTAATTGACCCATTTTAAAATTCTTTCACCTTTGAGAAGCTACATCATATGTAGTGAACATAGGTTATATTTTGTCCTAAAAACAGAAAAAGGGATGAAAATGGTAGTGAAAGTTTGTTTAGGGAATTAAAATGTTACCATAGTAACAACATTTTAATTCCCTATACAAACTGCTATTGTGCTATTCAATTTGTTGTTTTAATTATTAGTATGAATCAATATTCAAACAGTTCCCTAAGGACCAAACGGGAGAAGCCACTGGAGAAAAGCTACTTTCTAAATAAAACAATATGCATTCTCTCATTCAAGCAGATGTTGCTCAGTATTAAGTTTTTATTTACCTCATACTGTTTCATTTGTTCATATCTTAAAAGTGGATCTGCTTCTTCAAAATTTGAACTCCATTTGCTTAGATTTTCAATGAAACTCTTACTTGCGGACTGTTTCTGTAAGTTTTGAAATAGGTAGTAACTTATGTCTAACTCTTTCATTTTTAGAGATATTTAAAAAAAAACTTTTTGTAAATTGATTTTTTTTTATATTTAAAAAATACTGTACTATACCATGCATCATCACCAGCCTATTAATGACCTCACAATTGAGGGTACAGGCCTTCCCAATGAATCAAAAAATCAAATCAAATAGAGAAGCCAAGCCCAGTGCAGATTGGCACTAAACACTGCAACATTGAGTTCCTCATAATATTAAACACTTTTGGTTTAAAAATAATTAGATACAAGTTTTAATTCACCAACAAAAATGCACCCAAATTTTCTTAACTATAGCACCAGCCATGTACGCACTTAATGGATCTTAAGTTTACACTATGTGGCAGGGGCATAGCTACATCAATGATGTGGGATCCCAGGTACCCTTTTTTTGACACCGCATCTAGTTTGATTCAAGGCACGCTACATCACTGCTGTGTGGCTTAGGTATTTAATTTTTGAAATTAAAATTTTTATTTGAATATAAACATATCAGGCCAAAGCATAATAACTGCATAAATTAATATATAATTTTTAGAGATATTTTGAGTCAATATTTTTAACACTAGAAGGGTCGGGGAAATTGCATACCTTCAAAGACCGCGACCGTCAAATTGACGGTATATGATAATTACGGAGAAAATATGATTGAAATATGTACCTATGTGTGTCATAAAAACAAAATTACGAATTTTAATTAATGCTTTTAATTAAATACTTTGATTAGTTACATAAAACATTTATTACAAATAATTTTTTTAAATACTTTTTTTACACATTGACCACAAACAGCTTTCTGGCAAATAGTACATAAGTCACAAGTGCGGTTCTTTTTACATTTTGAATTAATTTGACATTGTCGTCTTTTTTGTGATGTAGAAGGCTGTTCTTCTTCAATAGTTATGTTATCCAAACGTTGAAAAGCTGATGCACTTTGTTTTTTATTCACGTACTCTGCGCGAAGTTCACTTACAAGTTGTAGAATATAATTATGACGAGAAATGTTTTCACCTGTAACTTGGCGATAAATAATCCATGAATTTATGGCGGCCAAATCTAGAATATTATAGAAGACGTGGACTGGCCATCTTCGTGTTCCAGCTCTTACAGTGTATTTTCGTGCCATTTGGTCAATTATATCCACGCCTACCTTAGTTTCGTTATAAAATTGTATAGTCTCCGGTAGTTTTTTTTTTGACTCAGCATCAATATGAATATTTTCGTGTAATGTACTCAATACAATGACATTTTTCCCAGGTTTACCTTGATAAATTGTTAGGGTTGTGTTTGTTGCCGATTTCAGTATAAAGGTTTCATATCTCTTTGTACGAATGTTTCTACAATTCGCTGGTACTTCTCGTCTTGCCCGTCTCATTGTTCCAACAATACTTGTACTTTCAGATCTAAGCTTTTCTGCCAATTTTAGAGATGTGAAAAAATTATCCGTTGTAACGTTCCGACCTTTTTTGAGGTAAGGTTGTAACAATTTCATAACAACATGTTCTGGTAACGACATATTACTTAGGCGCTCACTATCTTTTCCTAAATAAGGAAAACCCCCACACAGATATTTGCTCTCAACATCCACTAATAACCAAAACTTTATTCCAAATTTATCAGGCTTGTTCGCAATATATTGCAAAAAAGGGCAACGTGTTTTCGATGGAAATAACTGCTCATCAACAGTCATATTTTCACCAGGAATATAACACATTTGGCAATTTTCTATAAAATTATTCCATATATCAGAAATCATTGCAAATTTGTCAGTAGATAAACGTGTATTACGCGTGCTTCTCAAATCAAATCGTAAATATTTTATTATTTCTTTGAATCTATTTTTACTCATAGTATTTTTGAAAACTGGCGGACCCCATTCTAAGGACCATAAAATGTCTAGGTCTAAATGGCTCATGTTGTAAGCTCCACGTGCATAAATCAGTCCAATGAAAGCATCTAATTCATCTAAAGAAATTTCCCACGATTCATCTTGACATTTGATACGTGCTTCAGTTTCAGTGCACAACTTTATGCGTCGTAATATAAATTCTTGAATAAAAAGACGCCAAGAAGTAATAACTTTTTTGGATTCTACATACCGCTTTGCATATGGAGTGGGACCTGGGTTTTCTCTCAGTACATTTTGCCGACTTCGACGGCCCGTCGTTCCACCACTAAAACTAGGAATACACGTCCATTCAGTGCCATCACTAGCCACTTGTCTCATACCTATTTCGGGTAATGATGACGTTCTGACTTGCCTCCCACCACGTGTTATACTTCCCGAATGCACTGCTCTTCCGCTGGATCCAGGTCTTCTGCCACGACTTCTACGTATACCACGTTCGCTGTGTAAATTACTGTCCTGCGTTTCACTGTCGAAATGACTTTCAGTTGGAATGTCGGCTTCTGAATCCTCAGATGTAGAACTTTCTTGGTCTAGCTGAAAGTCTTCATCTTCGTTATCACAATGCGTTACTGATAATTCATTGCCACTTTCATCACCTGAGTCATCTTCTACAATATTACAAAGTTGCGATAACTCTCGTTCTATTTCTAAACTCGAGAGCTGTTTGGAACGCCGATTGGAACTCATTATAAAATAAACACACGACAATTCTCTTCAAATAATCAGTTGAAACTGTAAGTCATGTCAATAAACACAACATATAAATATATAGGTAAGATAAGAAGGTAGAAACAAAACTTTTGTTTATAACACTTCAAAGTATTCAAGTGCCGTCAAATTGACGGCGTCCGGTCTTATTAGGTATGAGTAAGCATACCCCGCATATCAATCATTATTTATTTATTTTTATTAAGTTAAAACTTATACAATCATAAGTTATGAAAAGTCATTAAATATGAATACAAACTGAAATACAGACAAAAAGTTATTAGCCATCAAAATTATTTTGCCGTCAAATTGACGGCCATGGCCCTTCTAGTGTTAAAAAGAAAAACTTACCACATTCAGATGAATTAATTTTAAAGGATGACTACCAACTCCAATGCTAGGATACTGTTTGGGGAGGGGATCCGTTTTCTTTTTAGATGTCCTATAACATTTTAGCCATTAGGATGGTAACAAAATGAATAAATCAAAGATGATAGTACATATAAAATGTCAATTATTTAATGGTTGATAAGTCAAAGTAAATGCATTTACCATTCATAATACAGTGGCATATCTATATTAACAATCTGTTGTAAGTTTTGTAAACATAAAATAATAAACTTGATATTACAAAATTGATATGAAAATGATATTTTTTTATTTCGGACTTCGCACGACTTTAGAAACCGTTCGTTTTCTAAAGTTAAATTTAATATAGTCGATAATATTAAAAAATTGAAAACTGTTTTCTTTTCCAAAAAATATTTTTTAAGACTAGCTAGGGTAGGATAAAAGATATATCGGAAAACCGATAAATATATATCGATATAACTACGCCCAAAAAAATCGATATCGAAAATAAACAACATATCGAATCCTAATACCTATCAAATTAAATTCTAACATTAAATGTATATCAGTTGTCCAAATTTTAACACCCACCGCCATTATCACATGCGATGTTACATTAGTAACACGTGTAATTTTTTCATTATAAATTAATAATTATATAATTTAAATTGACTTGTAATAGTATATGTATTTTTGACATCGAATAATGGTATGTAATCAGAAAGTGTTCTGTTATTTATATCCACGTTTGCATACCGTGGCAACCTATAATTAAGGCAAAATTTAGCATCGATTTTATATTATAAGCTCTGAATAATTTACTTATAGATTTTTGTCTTGTTGGTTGTCCTAATCAAATAAATAAATAAATTATTTTGTAACCCTGATTATTTTGTTTTGAAATTTATAGTAGCTTTTATTATTACAATTTGAACTTATTTCAAAATTAAGTGTTATTCCAAATCTAATCGCAATCTATTTGAAGTGGCAATAAGCCATTTTGCCAGAGCATGCCTTCTAAACGTATTTCTTTAAAAACAGCACGCAAGAATGACAATATTGAAGAATGCTTTGTCTACCGACACCAATAGCCTAAACATGTAAGGCTGTCGTTTATAGGTTATCCAGTCGTCAGAAATACATGGTCAATCAATCTCTAAAATATAGTTTCCCTCGAAATTGTATAACGGGCGGCAATATAGCGACGCGAAGTATACGCGGGCACGGCGTACTAGCCACGACGGGCGAGTTGACACTCGTGCCTTGAACTCCTATACCTTCGATAATTTTCTAAGTGTGTGCAAGCGACGACGCATGTGTATGCGCTCATATACAAACCATTTTCGGTATGTATATAAGAAAAGCACTTACTCTTTATTTGTACTCTGTTGAATGTTGTTAATTTGTTGTTAACTATAGTGCAGTACTATTCTAAGGCGGGCACCAAATACATCTACTGTTAGAGGGAAAAACATCGACTCCTTCTTGCAGCACTAATTGTCGATTTCATTACAGACATCCCTATACGTCAGTTATCTGTTACTATCACTTTGACGTTTGATCAGTTTTTCGCAACACTATACTACCGGGTTACAAATACATATTTTACCGTATATTGTATTCACTACTTTACCGTATATTGGGTATTTGTTTATTGGTATATAGAGTAATATTTAACTTATTGGTAAGTTGACTATTTGACTCTCTCTATTTATACTAAGGCTCGGTAAATTGAATAAACGTGTTCATAGGTTAATGTTACTTTCAGGCATGTTTCAAACTGTTTTGATGTTGAATGACGACTTAAAAATGCATCAAAAATGCATTATTGTTTTTTGTAAATGATACGACCGCTTGTTTTTAGTACACTGACATTCAATAATTTTATTTTATAATCTATTTTAATACATACAAACATATAGTATTCCAAAAAGTATAATTATATAAAATCAAAGAGTATAATAAACCTGGTATCAAAAGCTATTTATATATTAGAGCACAGTAAGTCGTGAACAGTTTTTATTAGATCCTTACATATGAAATTGGCGTTTTGTCGTAATGGCCACTTTAATCACAAATTTCTCCTCCT